GACCCACTACGCAATAAAAACCAAAAACAAAAGTAATAAATAAACAACATCCAAGATGCTTAATAAAACTATAATTAAACTTTATGCGAACAGATCAACAAACCAATCCTAAAGGGAATATTTTAATAATTTTCTTATAAAGCAATAAACAAAATAACAACAATAATAATAAATAAATGATAACAATTAGCAACATTGTATTCCAAACAATCAACTTAAGTTACAGGCAGATTTATTAAAAACTCCACTGCACTAAATGGACAAAAAGAGGAAGAAAGTGGAACAGAATGAGGCGCACAACATTTATTGATTTGATCGACTATAGACAGCCAGCAGGATGATGACAAAAATAAAATACAAACATGCAATCAAATCTACACCATTCCATACTATGCCGGGTATCAATCACTAGACTTTGGTCTATGCAAAGAAAACAATACAATAATGAATAGAGATGAGAGAAACATATACATGCATAGAAACACTCTCGTACTTACTCCTCTTGTCTGCCGGGCCGTTGAAATGCAGCTGTTTATTTTATGTCTGTACTCACCATGCAATCGTAGTACTAGTAGAAATTCCAATTCTGCCAGGCAGCTACGAATACGAGCGAATAAATATAAATGATGGGACCGACCGTTCAATCAGTAAAGTTGGCTGACTGGGCTTGGCTTAGCATAGCATGGCATGGCGCGTGCTAAAAATAATTTAACAAATATCGATAACATTGTTGTTATTTTCGTTAATAAGAACTAGATCACGACTTAATCACGTTGAATGGCCGCCGTCTGATGCGAAACTCGGTTGGAATTGTTATTGATCAATCAAAGCTACTACAACTGCACACAATATTACTCTATACTCTCTCACACATAAACAACGTCCGAATAGAAAAATATTGCATTTGGGAATTTTATTTGTTGCGATGAACGATGAATTAAATGATCTCTCCCATTTCATCTATGTATCACTGGGTTTGTTTACATTTTATTCCGTCTCAATTCATTAGGTATACCCTACCACAACGAAGAAATGTTTCTCTCATGTATTGGTATTCTCAGAAGAAATGACCTAGACCTACATTATCAAAGCCTTATTTGAAAGATCTAATAGGTAGTATGTTCCTGGAAAGATTCTTGGACATTATAAAACAACTAAAAGTGGCTTTGTGTCCATGGAAATTATGAAAGTGTCATAAACAAATAACTACAGTTTTCCTGGATAAAGTAAATCTAACTTCGATATACATATGTTGTAATTAGGATTCTCTTAAAAAGCATCCTGTATCATCGTCCGGAAGTATGATTTTTAAACTCTGGAATAATTCGAACACTAGCTTAGTAAATCTAAGATTGTTCTTGATGCATGAACTATTTGTAACCCATAGACTCGTTATTATACTTGATGTTATGTAGCCATGGACATCATGGCTACACAAACAGTGGATTATCTGAGTTACTATTTCTATTTCGTTAATTCATCCATCATGCCAAGGGAATATGAATATCCTTTAGCGAAAAAGTTTCTTCCTACAACGAACTATTAATTTCAATTGAAGTGAATGCAATTGAGAAGACATTACGTTGGAGTTGTGGGTCTTGATAGATGCGAGATTATCCACATAGAAATAAATAATCGATATCTTGAGAATAATATTCTTTTCGAGACCATGTCGAAGCTCATATAAGAACATTAGTGTATCCTAGTTGATTTTCCAATTCTGAACATCCAAAAACTGTCGTTATTGTGTTGTGTTGAAGTCGAGACCCTTGTTAGGTTTAAGACTGCCTGCACACTTAGAAATAAATAATCAGACCCTTGAAATTTAATTATCAGATTTTTCTCTAGAGTCTATATCTGAAAATGCTGAAAGTATAGGACAATCCAATGGTTACCAATTCAATAGGTCCTATAAAAGCGTGGTGGATATAGCATATATCCCAGCCCTAAAATCTGACAGCCGTGCTTTTGTAGGGTGATCATGGAGATATGACTTTATATGGAAGACATTTCAGACTGGATAATGGAAATGTGAAAACGTAATGTTCCACTTAGTATAAGTGGGATCCATTTTCCCTTTTACATTTACAGGAAAACCTTCAATTTTGTATAAGGTAAAAATACAGACTTAGGTATGTACTGTTTTAATAGGCTCTTCTTCTATATTTGGCCAGACTATTTCTTTTTAGATAATGTTATTCAGTGATGCTTTAGTGCTCCAGATTTGATATAATTTCTTTATATTGGCATAATGAGTAGATTTCGTGCACTAGTTAGCCTTTATTGCCTTAGCTAACTAAAGTATTAAAGGTCCAATTTGCGTAGTTCAGAAGGCCAAGACAAAAAGATTTTAGGGGCCAAATTAGCCTACGTGATCGAGTAAAATTTATCGTAATTTTTCTTTTCTAGATAATGGCAAAAACCTCACATTATTTAATAATACAATTGAAAGGTTTATCTAAAAACCACAGTTGTTTTCATAGTTAGAAAAAAATAAAATATTTAGAATACTGGGGCTTAAAGTTTTGTTTTTAGAATTCAGGTCATTTATGGCTGCAAAAAATATAAATAAATAAAAAATAATAATAATCTAGGCTTTGATATGATCCATAAACTAAAAACAAAAAATTGTTTACAATTAGAATAAACAAAATAGCAACAACAATATAAATCATTCTTTTTTTTTTCATTCTCAAGCTATGTATATGCAAGTAGTATACATTGCACGATATATATTTAAATGCACTAATTAAATGTGTCTCCTTTGTCGGAACAACTGATTTTTTTTAGCTCAATTCATAAGAATGGTATATTAAGGTTTGTGGATTTTAAGTGATCCAACTTTTGAAACAAGATCGATCAAGAACTCTCTGAGTTACAGTGGGTCAAAGTTTAACATTTTTGATAAACATATGTTTCTACTTATCTATATAATTTATTACCTATTGTTCTTACAAAAACTAGTTTCAATTGATTGTATCTAAAGTACTATACAATAGTACTCATCATCATTGGTGCAAATTTTATACCGATCAGAAGACATTGGTTGCAAAAGTTAACTTGGCATGAAAGCCATATTTGTGCATTTAAACGATTTTTGTATAGTGTATATCTCTGTGCATTTCTAAGAATTGTATATATGTATATTTGTATAATTATTGGACTCTATTCAATTCATATTTAAAGCTAAGACCTTATATACATATATTCGTAAATAAAATAAATAATTGTTAAATCTTATTTATTTATTTATTATTTGGTTAATGAACTACTTAATTTGCTTAAGTAGCCAGGAGAACATAAATATTTACTTTCCGAAAATTTATTTTAATCTTATGACTAACAAATAGAAAGATAGATTCATGTTGCATACATTTTTATATTCACCAGTTTTATACCCTACGGCACTATAATATTAATGGTATAATATGTTTATGTTGAGGTTTATAACGCAATGGTATAAATCGGTTCAGAATTTTCTGGGTAGAGTTGGTGATTAAATGAAACTGAAATTGGTTTTATTTCATTGCCGTTCAGTTGTTCCTAATTCCAACATAATCGATTCATAATTGGTCATATGTAGATCCGATAAAAGGGCCATCACTGCAAAACACTTGTCTGAGAAACGAACGCACAATTAATGGAATTTAATGATTGTTTAGTCGAAGAATTGCCCTGCACTACAAAACTCAGAATATCTTTCATAATTAGACCAAAAGTGCAATTATATTTATACTCACCAAAGTTGTTTATCGCTAAAATATCGTTTCAGTTCTACGACCGTTATCGAAATAAGCCAAAATACCGTTACCGCTAAGATACTGTTACCGAAATAAGCCAAAATATCGTTGCCGATATCTTTTCGCAGCTTTACAGTGGGTACATAATTTGCCAAATCCCCAGTGCATATAACAGTCGTTGTGATCGACTGGACATATGTTTGTACTTATACAGAAAACAAACCTATAGATGGATGCATGCATGAGTGTTTGTATGTGCATCTGATATTGACTGTCTGTTTCGTTGCAAACGAAATAATTTGTTTACGCTTTTTTTTTAACTGTCAGTTTTGTCAGGGATTCCTCAAGAGAATAAGATTAAATAAAATATTTTCGTTGTTGTTGTTGTTATTGGTATTTTATTTTGTTTTCTTTAAAAATATAAAAAAATACTATTTTTATAAATTTTTTCATATTAATCACGCATCTAGGAAGTGATTTATGAGAGTTTAATTTTTGCTCAAGATGAGAATGAACGTACATATAACAACAACAACAACAACAACAACAGCAGCAGAAACCAACCAACAAACCAAACTCTTCGTAGAAAGATTAAAATGGAAATGGTGCATAAAATGTGAAGTAAACAAGTATAAATTTAAAATATTTTTCCATGATTAAAAATAAATACAACACCAATAACAACAACAACAATATCAATAACAATAAACAAAAAACAAATTGCTAGAGTTTGTTACATAGTGACATTAAGGATTTTTTGAAAGAAATCTAAATATAACTCAGTTTTTGGGTTCTTTGATCTTATTATAAATTCATTAGTCATTACTCACAGTTACCACCTTCAAATGGGAATGTCTCCCATTTTATTAAAAATTAAATGGAGAATATGAAAACTAAGGAACGAAAATATAAAATAAACTTAGTTACCGTTTCATATAGACTTGAAGGTCATAGGTCACATGAAGAAAATAAATTACTTTTCTCGCAATTCTTCTTTGAAGTCTAATAAAAATGTTACGACATATGTATGAACATCTAATAGAGGAGTAAAAGTAACGGTTCATATCTGCCCCTTTCTACCTGGGACCGAATTACTGCACGCATGATCGAGTACATTTTTATTCGATCACGTATTCGTTAATTTGGCTCCATATTTGCTATTATGAAACATATATGATTCTGGTATTAATTGGGAAAGAACACTTTAACTCTTTATTTACGGTTTATCAATTACACATTCTTGAAATTTTCTTTTCTGTACTAATGTTGTGGTAATCCTAAAACTTTGACTTGTTCCCTAAAACAGTGACCATACTCGGCTGCTGCCTCACAATCATCAGAAGACACTTCAATTTCACTGCATGCATTTAGCAAAGACTGGACTAATTGCATTCTGGTAACATCTCCATTGGTTAATTTTCGGGCCTCTTCTAAAGCAGCCGTTTTATCAAATTTTCCATCAGAGTCCATCTAATTTCCAATAAATTAATAAAAAAACAAAGAATTTATTAAATCACAACAATTTTTCAGTGAAATTTCTTTAAAAATTTTAAAAATACTTACAACTTTATATTTTTTCATAAGACAGGAACGAAAACATTTTCCCGTCACTGTAGATGGTGGTTGTCTGTTTAATAGATCCTGTATATCAGCTGTTGTGGCTCCAACTTCCTCTTTACATGTCTCAAGAGTCATTTGAAATATTCTTGGAGCAGCACTTCGATTTAAAGATGAATTGGCCCATGAGTATGTGAATAGACAGAAAAGTGTTAACAATTGTAAATGTGTCATTCTGATATAATTATATTGACAATTGGAGGTTGTGTTCCAGAGCCATTAACAATTCTAACTAATTGAAAAATAATGAAATAATTATGTTTTTATATAAAATAAAACAGTTTTGGTGAGTGAAGGTGGAATTCATTCAAGTGTTAAATAATAGTTCAAGACATCATTATAAAAGAATTTAAAAAACAAGTTAGAGTGAAATATTCAGTTATGCCGAATCTTAAATACTCTTCATATACATATAAGCTAGTTTTTTATAAAGACGTCGAATATTTGTAGAAATTAACATTTTATAAACCCAACGAAATGATTTTCGGAAGTGGCTCTTGTATGGAAGCCAATTATAGGCAGATCCGAAAAAATTATTTGTATATACAAAACACATTCCTGTTGAATTTTGCCTCAACACGGTTATTGTTAATGAATTATGTGACAGCTTTGTCCAATTATGGAATGAACTAGAACAAAATGATTTGTATATGTATTTATCTCTCCAATTACAGAATAGATTGGTAGAATAATTGAAGAATTGTATAACAAAAATATCAGGGGTTTTCCGAAAATTGATTTCATCAAACATACGAACAGACGGACGGACAGAACACAATCGACTTCGGATTATTATATTGCAGGAATTATAAACAAAATGACAAACTTGTAAATGTACATATTTACCTTTCTTACAAATTTGCAGGTTATAATTATACGTATAAGTACCTAATAACGTATTTACCGTTATAAGATTTCTTGGTAATTATGTTTTAAAATAAAATATGCGTAAAGAAGGGGAATCATATCAATATGTAATGTACCGTAATGTACCGAACATTACGTACTTATAACCTTTATTCAGTTTACTTAAATCACGAAGAGTTCTTGATTTAAGTAAACAAATCTTGAAGGTCAAAGTTTGTTGATCACATTTTAGTTACTTATTGACCGATTTTGTTCATTTTCAATATCAAAATTCGTTTTGATAACACGAAGTACCTTCGACTCTACTTGACTGTTCCCGTGCAGTGAACTACCACGATAACCATGTCAGATGGATAGCATTTATAATCAAACCTGAAAAACCTAGTTATGCGACACCAAAGACCTATCGACCTTATGTAAAGGACAATCGGTGAAAATCCACTATATTGGTGAATCCTGAAAAACCTAGTTATACGACACCAAAGTCCTATCAACCTTATGTAAAGGACAATCGGTGGAAATCCACTATATAGGTGACTATATATACACTGGCGGTATGCATGGATATCGAAGGTGCCTTTAATAACTGCACAATGATAATCTTTTCTAATCATTAGAAAGTTATGTTGACCGGATGAAACGCATCTGGATTATCTACAGGCTAAGGAACAAATGTATGATATAAATAGTTATTTCGCGCTACACCACAGAGGGCATTTTGTTTCCTTTACTCTGCTTAACCACGATTAATACTCTCCTAAGTACACTAAGTGAGCAAGGATCTAGAATTCTCTGCTATGCAGTCGATGTCGATGTCAATCTGTCTTTTCACAAGAAAAATAAAATTTTCTAAGTATATTGAACCCTGTTTCCTGGACAAGAAGAAACCGGTGACCGACAGAGTTAAGTACCTATGTAGGTGTAATCCTTGATCGGAGATTTAAATGGAAACACCACGTAGAGGAGAGGATCGACAAGGGACATCTCCTATGTAGGAGAACCATAGGCATGAAATTGGGCCTTAGTCCTACTATGAAACATTGTCTTTATTCTGCTTGGATATATGTAAGTGGTGCCATGAGCATTACGTCAACCATGGCTCTGGAATATTGCTAGGTATTTCACTTATTGAAATATATCTAAAATATGAGGCGGCACTTACAGCCGAATGGCTCATAACTTCAAGCGAACAGGCCAAATGCGGTTATAGGACACGTCAAATGCGGTTACTGGACACATTGGAATGCTATACACAATCATCGGACGTGCCTGATCGCATACCAGACACTGAATATGTCGAAAACATTGAAACACTTATCACAGATCGAATGTCATCGTAGGAATTCGTTGCTACAAGGTTGGCTTAAAATTGGAGGACAAAGATCCACATTGAATCACAGCACTTACTTTCAGGCAGAAATCCGAGCAATAACGGAATGCGTAAAATGGATTAGAATAACTATGGCGACAACCGTTATCCCTAAGCTATCGTTACCGCTAAGATGCTTTTTCAGGTCTACTAAGTCTAAATACCTATACTGAAATGAGGATGTTCCAAAACTGCAGTTTTGCTAAAAAAGCCTTCTTAGTACAATATCAATATCGAAATAGTCCTAAATACCAATAACATAAAGATACCGTTACCGATCGTTAATTAAAAAAATGGTTAAAGTTTTAGAACTTGAATTTTATTTTTAATAATTTTAGCACAACATACATACATACATTTTCAAATATATTTACGCAGAACATATCCTATTATTTTCTGAAATTTTATCAACCAAATCTATAACAAAAATATTTCGCTTCAAATCCACAGGTTCCAAACAATGATTTATGCGATCGCATATAATACCATCTACACCTAATGTTTTCAGATATTTACGTGTTTTTTCTTTACGATTTTCTTCTCCCCAACTGAATACACAAAGATCTCGTTCATGTATGTCCGATACTTTTCCGGGCATTTCAAAGATATCCGCACAATTGACAATAATCCCTAATAATTCCATGGCATTGGCAAAATATGTACCACTAAGTATGGAGGTGCTACGTGGATCTAAATATCTGTCTTTACTTAAATTGTCGCGAATCATTAACAATATAGGATAGAGATTCTGTTTTAATCGTACCATGGTACAAATATCAGCATCAAATGATGAGAAAACAATACGGCGGGAACCTGCTTTCTGGAAAACAACTTGAAGAATTGTATCTACGAACTCATTTTTATCGAAGTCTGCTAAAATGCCATCTGCTAATTTTTGAGGCCATTTGATTTCTATAATATAACCAATTTTATTATTAACTTCTATTAGAACTCTTTCAAGTGTCATAAATGGTCGATTATGTTTTTTATTTAAACCACAACTAGTTCGGGTAACATTTTCTTTTGCTGGTTCATAGACTTTAACACGCCTCAATTGATCTAGAGTAAATTTACTGACAGATATACCCACTAACTCTTCAGTAGTTTTTCTTAATTTTTTGAGGGATTCCATTTCTTTAGGAGTTAAGGGCAAATGCATTACATCGTATTCCTGTAAATCAATATCCAGATTTTTCGATATATACAGTTGAAAATCATGATAAACTATTGGAATCATATCTTTAGTTAGTTGTACGTCAAATTCAACCATGTCTGCCCCATGTGCAAATGCCAAGTTAAATGAATTAATGGTGTTTTCTCTGAGAATATTATTTTGAAACCAATAACTTCTACCACAACCTCTGTGACCAACAAATATTCCTTCATGTTTAATATTCCAGTGACGTTGAAAAGTCTTTTCCATATTGAAATCATTAGAGTGCATGGGTCTCACTATTAAATAATCACATTTCATGGAACCAATGGGACGATGTTTAGTGCCGCACATTATTGTTAAGTACAGGGTGCCTTCGGAACCCTTCATATCTTGAGGCAAAACATATTGATAACCAAAATGATGGGGTGGTACATCTGGTGCTGATTTGGAAGAATAATTAAACAAATCCAATTGGTATGCGGTATGCTCTATATCTCCCAATGTTAGATTAAATATTATTATGTCTTCACAACCGCAAGCAGTGCCATATTTAGCCTGTTTATAAAATTCTCCATTCTGATCTTGTAGTGAGGCAACTTCACAATATGCAAATGTTTGTGTTAGATCCTTATCTAAACTTTCTGTAAGTAATTGAGTTTCTAGTGATGTTTTCCCCTCACATTTTTCTCGATCTTTAATTTTTAATGGAGTAATCTTTACATATAACGGCGAATTTATAATAGTATGCTTCAAAACAAAGGGATCTTGATAAAATTTAAACTGAACAACTGTACTGTAAGGATTAATCCAACCGCGTTCAAGTTTTATTTTATCTTTATATATGCCAAAAGTTTCACATTCTAGGGACTCAATATCCTGCATCTGATAACGACTTATCAAACGAGCTTCACAGTGCGTCTCCCAAAAACGTACAATTCTTTGTCCTCGGGCGTTTAAAGCACACACTAGATATCTATAATGTATGTCATATTTTCGAGGCAAAGTTACCGTTAAAGTCCAACAAGATGAATTTTCATCCCTATTTAGAGGCACAGAATGTTGAACATCCCATGTGCCTAAAATGGGACAGCTGCCGGAAATTGCCAATGTTTCATTTGAACACAGTTCCCAGTCGAACTTGACTTTAAATATCCATTCAGTTTCTAAAAGAGACGATGACGAAGAAGTTTTCGGCGTTTCTGGTGGACTGGATGGTGGTGTCAGATCTTTGCACACTATTTCATCATCTGCGAAAAACCAACGATGCATTTAAAAGTTTTTAATAGTAAATTTATAGAAAATAAAGAAATATGGAAATGTGTGTATTTTGAAGTTGACAAATTCAATATGTACTCTGAAAAAGTGTTATAATCGCCTTCAATAAAACAACCGGTGAATAGTATTTACCACATATTCAGATTTTACGGAACATCATTCCCGTTCATAACGGGACCTACATATAGTAGGTGCCGTTGTGATACCATCTGTGATTGCACACAATTTTCCTTAATCCCATTGGTAAACGTTGAATTTCGCTAAAATTCGAAAAAGTGACAGCCTTTTCCAGGACATCTGCACTTTGGTTACCATATATGTATATCCCCATGTCCAGGAACCCAGATACCCGGTATTCTTGAACAATTTTGGTAGTGGTGTACACATTCTCAAGGGCTCTATTACTATCAGTAAGTACTTAGAAGGATTTTCTGGCTTTCTCTTGGATAGGTTGTCCAATTTGAGAGCAGTAAAGATGGGAGGCTGATAGATCTAAAGTTTTTGGCCTTGGTATGTTATGCTTTACCCACCTCTCCATTTTATTGGAAAATGTGACAATTTCAGGCAGGCTCTGAATATGATCAAAAGCAAGGGCATTAAAATGACGATATTCTCCTAAAGGACCTTGGGAAAAATACCGACGAGTTCAGGAGATTGAAACTGATGGAAGCTTTTTATGGCCCACTGTACTCGATGTTTAGTTATTGGAATATCTGAGATATCAAATATAACATCTGTAACGATTTCCTTGGGTTGAGAACCGATTTCTTAGACACCTGGGAAATGTATTTCCATCAGCACTTCTAATGCTGCGAATAATTTTCCACAAAGTATACGGAGTATAAAAAGTATGAAAACAGCTGTTTTCTTCTTTTCTTTTTTGTGATTCGGATGGAATTTTACTTTTACTTTAGATTTTACTTACGAACGTAAAGTGTGCTCTTAAGGGCTTTAGAATGAAATAACTTTTCTTATTCGGCGGGAATATAAGCAAGTTCCATGTTGGAGCCACCCTTTTGCATTTCAGCTGACGATATATAATCTGGTGTGGGTACTTGGAACTTAAGATTGGTGGCATGAATCGGCATTTTTTCTGGCAACTCTGCTTGTATACATTAAATAAGACATTTGTGGTTGTTGTCTAAACTAATCTTATTTAATACCACAACCTTTTGTATAATTGTGAATTACAATATTGTCCATGGTATTGCCAGTCACGTTTACCAATGAAGAAAAATAATTGTTGATGTCATTATTGTCAGAAAAATGTTGACTCATGTCCCCAATTTTAGGCTGAAAATTCCCATTTTTATATTGAAATACCCATAATTTTCCCCAAAAACATCATGTCTTAGTGAGATATGTCTCACAAACATCATTCAAGTTGCGAGAGTTACTGCGAATTAGCAGATTTGGCTGTGCATCTCATACAAACTAGTTTATTTCTTATGGAAACTAGGCTGCTGCGTATCCCTAGGGCGACTTCAATTTGGCGCAGCACATACATATAAATAAAATGATATTGCTGTGAACAGCTTGACGAAATTTTTGTGCACAGCAGGATGCTTTCTTCTGACTTTTCGAGAGAATTTATTATTTTTTTGTTAAAAAAATTGCGCCATTTTTAACTTTTCCCAAAATAAAACATACATATAAGATAATACTTATTCCCACTCGCATCCCCTTATTTGACCACAAAGCTCTTAAAGGACATGGTGTAAGCTTTCTTTTGAGTAAAAAAACACAACAAAAACCTTCATTTTGAAAAATGGGGGAAAATTAAGTGCCATATATTGAAAAAAATCTTATTCTTAAGCAATTTTTTTTTGATAGATATCCCACTCGCATCCCATTTTGGGACCATAAAGTCCTTAAAGGAAATTGTCTGAGTTTTCTTTTGAGCAAAAAAAGGGAGTTTTTTAAAAAAAGAATTAAAAATAATATATATATATTTTTTTTTGAAACTACCCAATAAACCAAACGATATTATAACGATATCGAAACGATATCACTTAGGTGATAAAAAATATCATAAGTGATAGTCGTTCTCGTATCGAGAACGATAGTATTTACGTACTAAATGGTACCTTTCCTTATGATATCGTTTTTCCATAAAATTATGATATCGTTTTCGCTATCATAATTTCCAAAAATAATGATAGTTAAATCGCCTTTTTCAGTTTTTTTCTGTATGCTCTTTTATTCTTAAAATTTCATTTAAAACGCTATTTAACTTAATATTTCGCTATTATACATATAAAAAAGCCTGAAAAGGGAAGGATTGCATTCATTTGTACATATTTACATACATACATTAATACATATTTTAAAGTAATCATATTTTTCATCACATTATGCATTGTCTTGCAAATACCTGAAACTTTTCAAAATTGCATACATGTCAACTTACCACAAAACTGAAGTATCGAACGAAATTCGCGTATTTATTTGGATTATTTATCAATAATTTAGTTGATTTTATTTTAATATCCTTTTTAGTTTTCTTATGTTCGAAAATTTTTATTGAAATTATTTTTATGTTTGAAGTTTTTTTCAAATGTTTGTATTTTCTTAATTTTTTTATTGGAAACAAAATAATATAAAACGATATTATAATAATATCGTTTTAAATAATGAAATATGATATCATAATCGCCCTTTAAAAGCAATACCGTTTTCGCTATCATATCGTTTTTTGGTTTATTGGGTATGAAGAAATAGCTATCTGAACTCCTTTTGCTTGGACCAATAGGTGAAAAGTTACACTCATTTGAATAAAACACTGTGTGACCAAAATGTCCAAAATCCAAATTTAAGAGTGAAACGAAAAATTTAAAAAATTAATCATATTTTTAGAAATTATTTTCATAATGAAATAACTCCCCATTTTTAATGTGAATAATGACCCAAAAAATTAAATAAATCCCCAAATTTCGTTGTTGCTGCTTTCTGAGCAAATGTTTGGGGTGTTATTTCATTTTTGTTTTGGGAAGTGATTTCGTGACACCAATAGGTGTAGGATTGAATTTCTCGAAATCGAAGAGTGTAAGGTAAGAAACCTGTTCAAAAAAAATCCCCAAAAATAGTGGAAAAATTATAAAAAATTCCCAATAAAACATGAAATCCCCAAATTGGGGACAAATCCCCATATCTGGCAACACTGGTTGATGTAATGACACCACCTTATATAAATTCGTTTTGAATAGCTGATGCTGTGAAAATAACAAACGCCGATGTTAATTTTGGTCGGCAGAAGTTTTGTTTATATTTATTGTACAATTCACTTTTACCAACTAAATTAATTCATAAACAATACGCGGGTTGAATTAACATTAAAGAAAGTATAAACAAATAAGAAATGTTCGTAAATTGAATTGTTGCAATATGTGTGTGTGTACCAAATTGTTTATGTGATGATCAATAGAAATAATTTTAACAAAATTTATTTTATATAAGGTTATTAAAACCTTATCTACAAACGTGATCGAAAACAGCACTTATTAAAATGGACAAAATTATTTTAATCATTTTATTTCTCTTATCAAGTGAACTTTAATTAAATAATTCATGTATTTATTTAAACTATTAAAAATAATAGATAATGAATACAACTTATGTACTACATACATACATACATACACAGCCATGTGTGATTATTAAAAATTGTTTTTGTTTCAACTATTTAAGGTAGAAATAGACTGACACAGGAAATGCATTTGCGAATTCCATATTTTATTCACTGTATGTAAAAATACAGCTGTAATCAAATGGTATTAAAAGAAGTGACGACAAGTTCTGTACAACAAACATCAACAACAACCAAAGGCAATTTTTTTCTGTTATAAGTTAACTTGCTGTCAAAATTTGTATGTTGTTGTTTTGAAAAAAAAAATAATAATAATCAGCTGGGCTTATGTGTCCACTGTATTAATATACTTTGTATTCATAATATTATGATAGGGTTTCCAAATTCTGCCGTTTTTTTATTCCCGATAAAATAAAAAAGTCAATTAAATAGCGTTTCCGAGATGTTTTAATGAAGTTTTCTAACAAAATTTAAATATATATTGTTATAAAATCAGGTAACCTGGAAATATGTATGTATGTATATTTAAGATCCCGGGAATGGGACGACGCTGCACTGTGGTTCCAAATTAAAATCTAGTTACACAAATTATTTGAGGATCTTTTTTATAAAATTAAAATATTCTTAAAAGATCTGTATTAGCTATTTCTGAAGTTAAACATATTTTTTAACAAAATTGCCCTCGTTTTATGTGGATTTGGTGTCTCTAAGTCTAAGTATGCCTTATGTATATAGTTGAAACCCAAGTTTAAAAGACTAAAAACCAATATCTCAACCTCCGGTTATCGTTTAACAGGCCGGTTAAAATAATTTTTATATGTAAACTGTCAATTTATCATTAGGATAAAACATAATCATGTCCGATAACATAAAGAGTTTAAGTTGTTTTACCTTAATTCCGAAAAATTTCAACAATTTGTTGACAAAAAAAGAAATTTTCTAAAAGAGAGGTTATATTGGGGGAAGGGTAAATATACTTATAAATTTTGATAGAGGGATTTACGTATACAATAAGGTTATTTCTGCAGAATTTCATCGTGATGCTAATATTTATAAGTGAATTCACATTATTTTCTGAAGGGGACTTTGTATGGGAGCTAGGATCAAATGAGGCCCAATTACGAAAATCAGCAGTATTATTTAGAATTACATGTATAAAACAAAGTCTTGCTGATTTTTGTAGATATACTAGAATATTTAACATATCGTCACCTGAAATGCAAAAGGGCGTAACAACACTTTTAAAAAATTTTCATGAGGGACAAAAAACTAAATAAAATGAAAGCTATTTTGTTATAAAAACAGAGGGAAAAAATATACACGCCAAATTGACCAAATTGACATCAAATTTTCAATGACATCCGTTGTCAAGTATATACAAGAACATCTAATGTTGACCACGCAACGTTGTCAACATTGCAACAATTCCTTGTCGCAATCTAAATTTTATGTACATCCGTTGTTTAAAAGTTAACAAACGTGGTAAGCTCACTATTGACAAAGGATTTTGAGCTTACCACGTATGTGCATAAAATTTAGATTACAACAACGAATTGCTGCAATGTTGACAACGGTGCGTAATCAACATTACATGTTGTTGTTGTATGTATTTATATACTTGACAACAGATGTTATTGAAAAATTTGGTGTTAATTTGGTAACAGGCGTGTATATTTATTTTTCCCTTTGTGTATTGTATCCCAACATCGAAAAACGCGTTTGAATATAACTGTACCGCCAGACATTGTCTATTATGTTGCTTTTTAGGACTTTCTTGTGGAAATTACTAATTTATTGTTACACACTTTTGAATTTCATTTCAATAAGTCGGTATTTTGACAATAGGGTTCCAACAGCATGTATTTTGATGCAGTGGACCATTTTCAATCAAAAGTCGATTTAAATTTTTTTGGTTGTTACACTTTTTTGCATTTCAGGTGATGATATGTAATTATGTGCTCAAAAGTCCTTTTCGAGGGACCGGGGGTTGGGAGATTTTATCAAATTATCTTAAAAACTGCGACCTGTAATATGCGCACTAGATGGACACACAGACGGACGAACAATTGCCTATTTCAAAAAAAATAATTAAGACAAAAATAGGTTAAAATTTATTTGAGACAATAAAATTTCCATCAAAGATTTTGTGTACCTGACGACATATAAATAAAGAATTAAATGAGCTATTATACTCTGACAAAAAAAAAATGATTCTATTATCAACAAATTACCACCCCAAACTAAAACCTTACATGTAGAGTTTTAAACAAATGTTTTATTTTAAAACTTCATACATATAACAACTAGCCAAAGTGAATATTTAAACAAGTTTATAACCGTTAAATATACATTCACTTTTTTGTTATAGTTAAAATTTTTAAATCTTTTGTAATCCATCAATCCATAAGTATGTGTGACTGTCTATAAGTACAATTTAATATTTTCAAATGTACGACTTTGAATTGTGTTGTATTTGTTGTGGCATGTTGTATTACCATGGTCATGAAATAAAAAAAATGTAAATTATACATTAACTCACACACGCACATAATTGTTGGCTAGTAAGAAAATACACTCCAGTTAATAATGTCAGAGAACCGATTGCTTTTAATTTGGTCTGGAATGTTAGTGTTGACAATTACGAGGATTTTAAAGTTATTTAAAATATGTAGAAAATTTTAATAGATAGATAAATAGATAGATAGATAGATAGATAGATAGATAGATAGATAGATAGATAGACAGATAGATAGATAGATAGATAGATAGATAGATAGATAGATAGATAGATAGATAGATAGATAGATAGATAGATAGATAGATAGATAGATAGATAGATAGATAGATAGATAGATAGATAGATAGATTGATAGATAGATAGATAGATAGATAGATAGATAGATAGATAGATAGATAGATAGATAGATAGATAGATAGATAGATAGATAGATAGATAGATAGATAGATAGATAGATAGATAGATAGATAGATAGATAGATAGATAGATAGATAGATAGATAGATAGATAGATAGATAGATAGATAGATAGATATACAGTTCAAATACTGCCAAATTATTTGAAATTCAATATAAACTGAATTTTAAATTTCATATTTTTCTATTTAGAAACTTTTAAACTAGTTTTGAGTGTTACAACTCCGTAGATACACGTAAAAATGTCTAAAGCTTTGAGAATCTGCGAGATTAAACTTTTATTATTATTAAGATTTGTTATATTTTTTGCATGAATCTTATGGCTAAAAGAAAGAGCGAGCAAAACAAAAATACATATCACCAACATAAATACAATGGTAAATACCAAAACAAAAGAAATACCGTATAAAAATTCCCAATTTCTATAGAATTCAAAAACTTTATCTCTATATGTATGTATGAATGTTGGCCACACAAATCAAGTTCATTTCAATGTTTTATTTTTCTCACTTGTTGGTTGCTGGCGTAGTCGTTACAAACAAAATCAACTGAATCAGTTAGTCAGCCGGTCGCTGATTGTGAGTACATATTCGTCATACACTCGAATCGTTCAGTACCGGAGACAGACGCACATGCAGTCTAGTAGTTCATTCAAACATTACGTTCGTTCAATCAGTAATCATTCATCTGTACAAGAAATCGGCGGCATTTTATTAAAACGAAATTAAATAATAAATTTTATTGTAAAAAAACATATTCGATCATCATTAAAATTAAATTATTTTTACAAGTAAATCATTATAAAAACTAATTAATAAAAATTCAAGTGTTTGATTTGTTAATTGTCGAAATAAAATTAAAAATAACAATTAAAACAAACAATTCCAATTGCAATCTTATCAGGTTAATACACATCCATCGTACCCCCACCGTAGTGACAAACATTTTTAGTCAAAAACTATCAAAATTAAAAGTGTCTCCATTAAATATTACCTCAAAAAAATTATTACATTCTATTAGAAATCATTGTGGAAAACCTCCTCAAACCGTTACTTCTATAACAATAAATGGAAATTTAAATCGTTCTATAAGGTCAGTAGACAGTGTCATTCGTTAACAATTAAACCATAACAAAAAAAAACTTGAATACGCGTTATTATCTCGCATATTTGTGGTTTACAAACAACTCGTTCTTTTAAGATTTAATAAACATCAGAACATCATCATCAACAGGTTTTATACAGTGAATTGGCCAACATTGTTTTTGCGTTCTTTCCCAAGGTCATTGCGTCATTGTTTCCAGCTACAGCTGTCACAACAACAACAAGTAGTACTACAACACCAACAACTGAATACAAAACGTCTCTTAAGTATGGGTTCCATCAACTGTAAAGAATATGTGACCGCCAATGATGCCTGCGCAAATCAACCAGAAAATGGTAAGAATTCTTACGTACAATAGAGAAGACACTTAGAAAATAGTAAAAAAGTGAGTGAGTTAGCAGAAGTAAAGAATTTATCGATTTATGAACCTAAATAACTATCATGACAAGAAGAAGGGTAATATGATTGGTTATTTCCATGTTAAATATTTATGTGAATGAATCCTTATTATGTTTAAATGAAGTCATAAAAATTTTAGTTGTGTGTGAAATAAATAATACAGATATTAATTTTAGAGTTATAATAGGAAATTTTACTTATTAATGTGGGAACTAAAACACACATTTATTTTTAGGAATAGTATGGAACATTTTGTTAATTTCCTAATTATTGAAGTTTAGGAATTCCCGGAAATTTCTATTGGAAAATTTCTTTATCTTTAAATGTAGAATCATATTCAATATTTCATTGTATTCATTTCACGAGAATAAAAAATTCTGGGAAATTAGAAAAATTACTTTACCCTCATACAGTTACAAGCTAGGTTGTCGACAGCACCAAACTACATAGTTACGGAGAATACGTATTCTGCCTTTCTCTTCTCAGTAATCAAACTATTTCTCGTCGCTTATAGGAGAAAGATTTATAATGCAGTTCTCCGAGGGGTATTTGGCATCTACTGCAAGACAACCAGCTGACATAGATTGGCGTCTTTGACACCATGTGTGCGGATTTTTTGCGATCGACCATGTTGTTTTCAATACTATGACATGAATGTCGGTTCTTATACCGTTCATATATTTCTCTTTGATTAATCTAGTGCCTTTAATTTCCCGTGGAAAGACCATTTCTACCAAGGTTTCCTTTCTTTAATCGATCCTTTTACTTTCCCTAAGCCAACTATATTGAATGATGTCAACTTATTGTTCCAATATCTTGGCTGTAATATCCATCATGGATAAAACGGTTCCGGGGTTCTATATTGAAGCCCCAGAAACAGAATGAGTAAATTGGTTTAAAATAGATATAGCGCCAAAAGGGGTTAACATATTTACCGGTAGCCAGAAGGCAATTAGGGTAATATCAGGTGATAAGGTTATATCTAAGACTGTATTGGATCGTAAGATCCGAATACTCTCGCAGAGGTAAGCTTAGCATCATATGGGTCAATCGGGAAGAGTCGAGGTAGTTAACTTGACGAACGAAAACCCATGCGACACAACGAGTGCCGAATTAAAAATACAGGAAAGTGAATCTCATAGGACCTCTTGGAATTATGAACAGTAAGATCCTATGGGTTGACACTAAAAAGAGCAGGACGGGAAGCATCCTCAAAAGTAGCAAGTACAATGCTATGTATTTCGAGGGGACACGAATGTCGAGTGCTTAACGTGACCACTTGCCTTGAAGGTTTTATTTCACGGTGGTCTTTTTCATCCACTGAGTAGAGTAGAGAAGATCTACCACGCGCCCCTGATTCCTTCTATGAAGAACTCAAATGGCAATTTTTGTACATGGCTGAGTCGGTCCATGTACAAGCACTTTGCTGAAGAACTCCAGCTACCTAATCTCTTGCCATATGTCGGACCTCAACCATATGTCGCGTAGCATGAAACAATATGAATCCTGTTGGGATGACAACAGCACCGAGAACTTCCCTGAAGTAAAAGGTCTACTAAATCAGTACTAGTCTCCTGTCGGGCAGAGGAAACTTTCCCGATCATTCACCACTTACATCAGTTCCATTCTCAGAACATAAAGAACTATCAATGGAATGACAGCCAACTACCAAGTGTGAACCAGAAAAATCCCCAACATATACTGGCGAACAGTAGCATACGTTGCTCTGTCACATCACCCAGTGACATCTGTTGATATGGCAACAGCACCGGAGAGAGAATCCAGACATATTTAGCATTTGGATATATCAGTCCTTAAACCAATATTCTCTCCCCGCGAATTTGGGTATGAACCACACCCACTACCTCAACCAATTGGAGTTTATCATCAAGGAAACATGCCCCGGATTTCGAGGGGACACAAAGGATTACGGGCACAGCTGTACACAATACATTTAGAGAGGACCGTGAAACTCTGGTGCACTTTCTTTGCCATTGTCAGGCGTTTGTCGAAATTAGAAACAAATATCTTGGAGGTGATATTAATCCGGATAGAAATTATGTCTATGAAACTGGGTTTCTGAACATCGGACAATAATAATAATATTGACCACTATATAAATAAGGTTTTAATTTTTACCAACAAACATTTTCCATGCAGAGGACCGGACAAAAGGCCCGATTGCCATATTTCTTCGGATTTTATGCATTATACATCCTCCTATCACCTTAACATAACCTAACTGATCTACTAGCTGGATCATATGCTTATAAAAACTAAATTAAATAAGAAAAGTTTGAAGGGTTTCTAGTGTCCCCGACGGTTCTAAAATTGATTCTGTCATGTCCAGATAATATATGCGTGATTTAAAATTCCAAATCTTAACTTTTATTTATTCTTATTTTCTTTTTGAAGGGAATCACAATAGACCCTAGAGATCTCCAAGTGGAAGTATGCCTTGTTGGTATACACTCCTTTTAAATAAAACTAAACGTTTATTTATACGTACTTTTCGTGACATTTTGTTTTCAATTCTGAACAATTGAATTATTGCGTGCATTGCAATTTGAATAATGTACAGTAATTTTTGGACATAATAATTTATAGATATTAGACAATAAGTTCGTTTTCGAGAAATTCGCGAAATAATATACACCTAAAGAAATGTTTAATATTGTTGCTGTGTTTTTTTTTAAAAACAAAAGGCTTTTCCAATAATATGGATGGGTATTGAATGTATCAATTTGGTGTTAAACACCGGAACAAAGTTAATTTAAACAAGTAAGAGTGCTATATTCGGCTGTACCGAATCTTATATACCCTTCACAGTGTATTTAAAAATATCAATTCTATAAAATTTTAATTTATTTCATTTTCCCGTTTATATCATTATTATAGCAATAGCAAAACGAACAACAACAACGCTAAACGAAATAAACACACAAAAAAAAAAAAAAAAATACACAAAGCAGTAAAACCAACAGACATCCAAACATACGAAACGAAATACACAAAAAACAAAAACAAAATAGACAACGCAATGAAACCAACAGACATCCAAACATACGAAACTGAATACACCAAAAAACAAAAACAATATACACAAGGCAATGAAACACACAGTCATCCAAACACATGAAACGAAATACTAAATGAATAAGCAGTGTTGTTGTTGTTGCGTATATCAAAGCATGAAAAAAATTGTCTTTTTTATGAAATTTTCAGAGGTTGTCTCGGATTTTTGCTCATATCTCCGGTATTTATGGACCGATTTTGCTGATTTTAAATAGCGATCTTCTCGAAAGCATGTCTAACAGAATTATTTAAGATTTGGATCTCGCCGATATCTTGGGTCCTCTAAAAACTGATTTCAACAAACACACAGACTGACAGACAGACAGACGGACAGACAGACATAGCTTAATCAACTCCGCTACCTATAAGGATCCAGAATATATATACTTTATGGGGTCGGAAAATTATATTATAGAAATTACAAACGGAATGACAAACTTATATATACCCTTCTCACGAAGGTGAAGGGTATAATTACATATATAAGATTACTTTCAGATTTCAGAACTTCACAAGCTTTTAAGATATGTTCAGACTTTATGTTAATCATGACTATATTTATTTGAATAACATATTTTCGGCGCATTTTGTTTCTGGTTAAAATAAAGGATTATTTTAAAATTTAACCGTTATTAACGGTTAGTTAAACATGCAATTTATCTTATCAGTGTATTGAAATAGTCTGGCTAAACAGTAATTAAAAAACCCCAACTTTGGTAAAATTCTAGACAAAAGTGGTGGAATTATTATCCAAATGACATTTGCATTCATGTTGAACAAGTAACAAACGAAACAACAACATGCAAACAAACATGTTATTTTAGAATATCTTACAACACAGTCCGTAAAGTTTAAAACAAGATATTCACCCTGCAAATGTTTAGTAAGAAACGTAATTCATACGAGTAAACAACAACAAATTATTGCGACACATTACTAAAACAGATATAATAAGAAAAAAAAAACGTAAGTTTAAATTAAAAGTAATATTTGCTGAAACTTATAAACATTAGTATATATTTTTTTAACATGAGATTGTTAAATAATAAAAAAGTGAAACAAAAAAAAAATAATTGTGCCAAATAAAAAGAATTATTAAACAATGATATTTCGTATAGTACACGAATAAAAAACAATAAACGAATAATTAGATTTTGTTCAAAGAAATATTTTTGGTTGTATTCGCACAAGGTTATCCAGTCAGTTACTTGTTTGTACGAGTATGATTTATCTATTCATTAGTACAATTACGTTTGTTGTTGTTTGTTTATTATTTTTTTCTTTATTTTTACATGCGGTCTCAATTATTATTCTCAATGCATATTGCTTTTTTTGGAGAGAGATTGCATTTTAAAGAGAATTGAGAGTATTTTATAAAATAAAAGCCAGAAATAAACGAACCATAACAGTGAAAAGTGCTTAACTACAACTTTTTTTCGAAAAATGCTTTAGTTCAAAACATTTGGACTAATATGATAGATTGATACAATTTATTCGAAAATAATGCTAAAAGTAAACAGTTTGTACTTTGTTATTTAAGATATTTTTAGTGGTTAAGTGAAGTCGATAAGATAATTTTCAGTAGTCCAATTAACTAGTAAAAGTACAAAAATGCATTTAATACAAATTCTAATTCACAATCTACTAATGCCGAATTATTCGTATTAAATATGGCACGTTTTAATAAGTCATAAAATTATGACTAAGTCCATATGGTTAAAGTTTTATGATAGATATTTTGAAAATTTTTTAATAATCTGAAATAAAAATTGTTGCCTAGAGCTCATTGCTGATTTGATAATAGATGGTTAATTATGACGGAATGGAATATTCAATTATTGTGGGAACACTAAGGAACATGTGGAAAAGTTGCGAGATGTGCGATATAACTATCAGGAAAAAGCAATTTCGCGGTACACCACAGGGTGGCATTTTATCCCATCTACTCTGTTTAATCACAATTAATAGGCTCCTAAAGACCCTAACTGAGACTTAGGACTTAGTGCTGTCTGCTATGCTATACGATGTCATAATACTTCTAAGAGGAGAGGATTTAAATCACTTATTTAGAAGGGCTGAAGAGGCTCTGAATACAGCCTTGAGCTGGGCTGAACGGAGTGCCTCAATGTTAACCCGAAGAAAGACAATAATTGTTAAGTATATGGAACTTGACTGAGTTAGGTATTTAGGTGTAATTCATGGCCGCAAATTATAATGAATACATCACATAGAGAAAAGGATTAATTAGACACATCTGTGCTGAAGAACCATAGGCACGAAATGGGACCTTAATCTTACTATGACACATTAGCTTTATGAAATTGTAATTAAGCCAATTCGAACTTACGCTGCAATAATCTAGTGGCAGACACAGAATATGTCGGGAACTTTGAAACTCTGATAGAATGATAGATTCTAATGGAATATTATGGCAAATATCCGTCAGAATCCATTGCTACACTGATATCTTTAAAAGGGGAACAAAGCGCACATGATTACGGCCAGAACTATAGACCTATAAGGCTTTCGAAACGACAAAATTTCGAATATGTTTCTGAGTCATTTATTGGTTTTATAAAAATATAAATATTTATGGGAAAGTTTTTATTAAAAAACTGGAATTTATTGACTTGATCTAATTTAAACATGTCTCATTTCTTCTTAATTTCAACAACTGAACATCAAAAGATAGAATTTGTTATTAAAAAACTAACATAATTAGTCTAAATTTACTCATATATAATCTAACGGTATATGGTACAATACAAAATACCTTTGTTATAAGTTTTAATAATCGATTCAGAGAATTTCTACATATTTCTCTTAGTTATTTATGAATATATTTTCAATGACTTGCAATACAAACTCTATTTTAAAAATATAAAAACCGGTATATTTGAACAGAATTAATATAATAGAATGAATGTAGTAATTTAACGTGGCAATGAACTTTTTAAAATTGAAATAGATAAATATGTACTTACTACATATCGTCACCTAAAACGCAAACGGCCCTAACTAACATTTTTAAAATTTTACAGGAGAAGCAAAAAAAACTATTTAAATTGAAAAGTTTGTTTCTATCAACGCGATTTATTTGTAGTAAATAAACAAATTGTTTAATAGTGAAACCTATCATTTCTTATGATAGTTGACAATGGCGTATAAAAAAATGGATAAATTGGACTTTTTACCTTTAATATTTAAATGTTTTTGTAGATAGGGCCTTTTGTTTTCTGTCAATAAAATCGATAATTATGGTCGGAGGAGTCCAATTTTTGGCGTGGACTTTTGTTTTGAAGCAATACAATCACCAATAAAATCGATTTTGAATTTTTGGTTAGTTAGGGCCGTTTGCATTTCAGGTGACGATATGTACTTTTACTTTTTTGTTTATACTTTAAGTACGATGTAATTATAAATGATTTTATTTCAATTATTGTATTTTACTTCTTTTTCATGTTCGTAAATACTTTATTATTTTTATGTTATAATAATAATTAAAATGCGTATTCAAATTATTTTTAAATTAGGTCTCAATCTAATAATTAGATAAATTTAAAAATTGATTGTGATCAAATATGGGAATATATGTATACAGCTTAAATAGTTGAAGTAGATCCACAAAAAATTACATACATATGTATTCGCATATCTACAGTTCATAATCAGCTTCGTAAAGTTAAATTTATTATTATTCTGTTTTAAAACAAACCTATAATCCAAAAAATAATGACATACAACGATACGACGCCGATTGTGAATTGGACAATTATATTGCATAAAAGTATCTAATAAATTCCCATAAACGATTTCTTTTCGTCATATTTGATTTTATTTTACATTTCCCTTTCTTTTTTGCATTTATCAAATCTTCTGCAATTATTTTAAACAATATATATAGTACTTAAACATTCGGTAGTTAATTAACGAAATAAGTCTACCGTAAAAATCAATAAATGACTTTTACAACTTTTATCTATTTTCAATTTTACTTAACAATAGATAAGTGAATAGTAAAATACAAAAACTAAATAGAATTATTATTGGCTCCATAATAACACTATTTATGTTTTGCTATTTATGATTGTTTTAACTATTTTTATCTAATCAAAAATTTTAAAACCACTTTAGAAATACCACTATTTGCATAAGCGACTTTAATTATAAAACAACATGAAAAGTTTTTTATAGACATTGCCACAATGGTTTTGGTTTCGTAGCAGAATTCGCAACAGCTTTTAATTTTAATTATACCAATATTTTAAGTAGTTCTTGTTTCGGCGTTTTTATCTATGGAGTAGTCCGTAAACTGTTCTATAGACAAATCTATGAAGTAATCTACGAATAAGTCTATGGACTAGGCCATTGACTAATATATGGACTAGTCAAGGTCTAATGGCTATTTTATGAACAAGTCTTATGACTTGCTAATGGACTAGTCCATATAGCAGTATTTTCTAGTCTATTAGCTAATCTATTTACTAGTCTATGAATTAGTTTATTGTTTACTTTATGGACTAATCATTTGATTAGTATATGGACTATTTTATTGACTTATTTATGAACTAGTTTATGGATTAATATATTGATTACTCCATAGACTATTATATTACTTAGACTATTGACTAGTCTAAGGACTGCTTGGTGAAAGTTTTATTTAAAATGTCGGCGGTATTTTGCCAAATGCTAATGGAAAAAGTATTATTACTGTATTTTTCATCCCTATAATACAACCTTTTAAGTATTAATCGCGCCTATATTATGTATTCTGAAAATTGAATTTCTCCATGACATCAGGTTTTCGAGATATCTTGGCCTAAAGTATGAAAAAATCCCCATAATAAGGGTTAATTCCTTTCGAAGTCCTATCCGTTGGCTTTAAAATACAGGTTTAACCTCTTTTATATTTTGTTTCTTCCTTGAGATATCTTAGTCTAAAATTAAAACACATATAAATTGAAAAACATAAATTTTGCCTTCATTTTATGCAAAAACTTCAACAGACAGATTAAAAAGATCGATTTTCATAGAATTTTTAGTTGTTTAAAACTTTATATTACGATATCTGAAATATGAGGTAAAACCTTTAATTTGAAGCCAGTAGATAGAAACTTCAGACGTCATAACAAATGCAATAAATTTACTTAAACTTATGTAATCGACAAGTTCAGATTCGGATTCAGCGTAGCTCTACCGGTTTCTGAGAATAATTTGTAAATTGTTTATAAAACTTTACAAATTATAGGAATATTAAATAGTTACGTTTTTAACTAATTGAATACAATTAAATGAAATTATAGTTAATTAGAATTAGTTCAAAAATATACATATTTTCAAAACAATTTTCAATTTATTTTTATTTCTTCAATTTATCAATTCCAATTATCGTCAACTAATAATTTCAAATTGAGTTTTATTTTTCCTCGTTGATAGCGGCTTTAACATCATCAATTACACCTTCAGAAAACTTCACCAATCTATTATAGCCGTTCGTGAAAAATGAGTTGACATCAACCCAAGTGTCACTGCGTTTTACATCATCGATAACCGAGACTATGGGTGGAATAGGATTATAATTATCGGCCACTTCCTTAGCGATAGAGTTTAAATCGTTAGTGAAAAAAGATTTAACACTTGTCCATACACTCGTTTCTTCTGGTACCTTTTCTAGCGGAACTGTTGCAATCTTTTTATTAAACTTTGTTGGTGTTAAATCGTTTCTATTGGCTTTATCATCAAAATCCATTTTGAAAATAATTGGCCTTAGAGTAAATGATTCGTAGTATTCATTGTTATTAGAGGGTAAATTTTTGGATTTTCCAATGAGTTCCAGCAATGTTTCCCATTCTTCATCCGTTAAGTCACGAGTGGGCAAAGTCCGAATGTTGTTTAATATCGCTAAAAGCGTTATAATTACAATTGAAAGATTTCTGTTCTAAAAAAAGAGTTTGAAAGTTAGTATTCAATTTTAGTTTTAATGTATCGTTTTAAATGCACTTACCATTTCGAGCTAGAAATTCAAACTACTTTGAAGTCTGTTTATCCTCACACTTTTATACATTATTTTTCGAAGTGTTTTGAAAAATTCTTCCATATGTTGAACAGAATTTTCAAAATATTTTTCCATATTTCATTAAAACATAATTAAGAACACATGTACTTAAGTGTGGTATGTAAATATTTGTAAAATTAATGGTTTTTCCTTTTGTTACTAATTTAGGTACCACCGGTTCTGGATCATATCAGTCTACCTGCGAAAAAAAGATGAGTGACGAATATACTGACTCTGTAGCCGTTTGCAATGTCAACGATTTACAGGAACATGATATGAAACAATTTAATTTCGATGAAAACACCAAAGTTCTGGTGGTCAAACAGAATAATCAAATTAAAGCTGTAGGCAGTAAATGCACCCATTATGGAGCCCCTCTCCATACTGGTGTACTAGGTGATGGTCGTGTTCGTTGCCCTTGGCATGGAGCCTGTTTTAATATTGATACTGGTGACATAGAAGATTTCCCCGGTCTTGATTCTTTGCCCTGTTTCAAGGTTGATGTTGAAAAGGATGGCCAAGTCATGCTGAGAGCTAAACGTAAAGATCTTGAGAGTTCGAAACGTCTAAAAGATATGGTGAAACGTGATCCCAAAAATCATCTTTGTTATGTAATAATTGGCGGTGGTCCTTCCGGAGCTGTTTGTGCGGAGACTTTACGCCAGGAAGGCTTTACGGGTCGTATTGTTATGGTTTGCAAAGAAGAGTATTTGCCATATGATCGTGTAAAGATTACCAAAGCCAGTGATATTAAAATTGATACCATCCAGTTCCGCAAACATGAATTCTATGATGAGTATGGCATCGAAACTTTAATGTCCACCGAAGCTACCAAGGTAGATTGCGAAACCAAAACTGTGTTTCTGTCAAACGACACAACACTTAAGTACGACAAAATGTTCATTGCAACTGGTTGTAGTGCTAGTAAACCTCCAATTAAGGGTGTTGATCTGAATGGTGTAGTCGTGGTGCGAGAGTATGAAGACCTTCGTCAGATAAATAAATTGATTAAACCCGAAGCAAATGTTGTTTGTTTGGGATCGAGCTTTATAGCCTTGGAATCTGCACAAAATTGGGTGAAGAAAGTTAAAAGTGTAAGTGGAAATATGAATTATACATATATTTATGCATTTACAAACAGTTATGATCAGAATCTTACTTTGGTACCCAAAAAAAGGAAATATATATAATTTGGAGAAATTACTTTGTAATACGATTCGAAATAAAAACTATAAAAATACAAAATATATATGTATGTAGGTTTGCATTCGAATCACTTTACACAGTAAACTCAAGTATTTTGTATAACTTTAAAATGGTAATTCATTTGAGAATTTAAAACTTCATTATGTAACGGTTTTTGCATTAGAAAGTACTTCCTTTATTCTACTTCTGATATATTTCGAAACAATTTAAACGTTTTATTTACATCTTTTCAGATGACTGTAATATCGCGTACAGAATTTCCTCTTATGGCCAGTTTTGGTTCGGCCATTGGTGAACGGGTATTACGTTTATACCGTGATCAAGGTGTCAATATGGTTATGAGCAGTGGCATTGTCGAGGCAATTGGCGATTCCAACAACAAACTTACCGAAGTAGTATTAACTGATGGCACTAAACTACCCTGCGATATACTAATTATGGGAACCGGATCTAGATTCAATACTAAATTCTTAGTAGGTTCTGGTTTACCAATCAATGCAAATGGCTCTATTGATTCTGATATTTATTTGAAATCATTGGTCGATGATGTCTATGTTGGTGGCGATATTGTTAATGCTCCAGTCTACTCATACAATAATCAACGTGCCACCATTGGCCATTATCAATTGGCTCAATATCATGGTCGTATAGCAGCCATAAATATGGTCGGCAATACTCCGCAGGAATTACAAGCTGTCCCCTTCTTCTTTACCATGCTTTTTGGCAAAGGTTTCCGTTATTCTGGTTATGGTTCATATAGCGATGTAGTCATTGAAGGCGATTTGGAAAATTTGAAATTTGTAGCTTATTTCATTGACGAACAGGACAATGTGGTAGCAGTGGCTTCGTGTGGTCGCGATCCAATTGTAGCACAATTTGCAGAACTGCAGAGTCAAGGCAAAAAGCTGATTCGTTCAGATTTACAGAATCCAAATGATCCCACAGCTTGGACAAAACTGCTTAAGGAACCAGTCAAGTGTTTTTAAGCGCTTATGCTTAAAATGAACTTTCAAATATTTGTATTATTATTTACTTTAAATGTTGTAGCTTTGTACTATTAATACGTTATTTATATAGTATATTTCCCTCTTTTTTTACAAATTGTTAATAAATATTATTTGCAAAAATCGAGCATTTAAGTTTTTTGTAAAGTATTTTAATTATGTTCCATTATAGTGTAATTGAAAATTGGGTATTATTACCCAGCAAAAAATAATTGATGTCATACTTTACAAACTACATCTTAATCACATCTTAAAATGCGATTACATATTTTTCACTTTTATAAACCAAATATTTCCTTACAAATGAAACCCCAGTTGAAAGTGAGGAAAGAGATGTGGAAAAGTCATTACAAATAACATATTTGAAGTACATCAAGATTTGGTGAAAGAGTAGTGAAATTTACATAAGCGTGTCATTAAGAGAATGTGTTTTATTTTTGACATCCAAATATCGGATTTTTACTGCTTCTAAAAATAAGATTAGATGTAGTTCAAAGTTGCCAAAAATTAACAACATCCCTCCAATGACACGCAAATGTAAAATTCATAGGTTTTACACCCGAATTTGAAGAACTTCGGGTTACTAGTTGTGATGAAAATTCTACATCTTTTTCCACACTTTTTTTGCTGGGTAGCTAAATAATACAATTGAAATAATTCTATTTAGATGAATGATAGATTTGGTGGTGAAGCAGACTAATCTATGGTCGTGTTTTTTGTTGAATTTATATCTGTGGACTTTTATGATTTGTTAACAAATATATTTTTTTAATTTAGTTTTCTTTCAATTAAAAAAACTATTTCATTTCTTCGTAATAAAACAGTTTTTTTAATAATAAATATTACAACTGGCAATGCTCTTGCAAGCAATTTCACCATGCATATTTTAAACTTGCCACACCTGCACAAAAACGGGTAAAATTTTACCCTAAGTATTTTAGTGAGAAATTAATGTATGGCAGCACTGTGAAATGTCAAACATATCACAATTAATAAATCAAAAGCAGAGATCTGCGCCGTTAAGCTTAGCTGCCGACTAAATATATGTGTACCGGCATTGATTTGTAATTGATAACGGTATTTACCGAAAAACTTAATTCGGTATCAAAACCAATTTAATCGGTATCAGTAATTTATTATATACAAATATATTTTTTTAATTGACCTCATTTTGATGATATTTTTCATGTAATTAAACAATTCGCTTTAATATGAGAATCTTAACTTTTTGAGTTATGTTAAATTAAATTATTTTGTTCGAAATACAATTAGTTTTTCAAAATTATAAAATTTCAAAATATGCCTTTGATATAATGTGATGGCAATTATACAAAATTTTTAAAAATAACATACAATTTATTGCTAGTTTTGCTTGCTGTGGTTATCAAATTTCCCAGTTATATTTGTTGTGTTTACGTTTTGACAGTTACATCGACATCACCTTGTATTTATTATACCATGGATCCACCTATTAGTAAAGTCTATCATCAAAATTGGATCATATGTACATACATGTATCTATACATAATATAACTTGTATGTACATACATATATCATAGGTATGATTTAAGTTTTGATAAACTCTGATTGTTTTGTATGTTTTCAGAAGTATTTCACACGGTATAAAATCCCGATGTTTCAAAATATCTTTTGCAAAATCGGGAATTATAATCCCCCGATTGTATTTAATGTCGTTGAAAATATAAAATCAAAGTTGAATACTTTGCCGGTTTTCAGTCGATTTTAAGCCGCCACTGAATTTGTTTGTGTCATTCGCTGCCGCCGTTAATATTTGTCGGCGCAGGTCTCTGATCAAACGAAGCAAAAGAATTTTTTTCAACTAAACGCCCAAAAAATTACAATTTTTTGTTAATAAAATTTTATTTACGCAAATATTTAAAAGTTAAAAACATTCCAATTATTAAGAGAATTCTGCAGTAAATTATTAAAAAAGCAAAATAAATATGAACTTTTTGGGGTTTGGACAATCGGCCGAAATCGATATTGTTTTCGATGGTGCTGAAAACAAAAAAATGACTGAAGTCAAAGGAGAAGATGGTAAAATTGAAAAAATGTTGCTTTATTATGATGGTGAAACAGTGTCCGGCAAGGTAAACTAAAAAGGATTTTCATATTTTACATTTAGCCAGTAATAGAGATTATGTAAATTTAATAATTGTGCGTTTTTCATCGTTTTTTTCTTCATACATATTGTGTGTTTTGTTTGTGTGTTCATTTGGATTGATTGGTGTTGTTGTTTTTGGTGTTGCTGTGTTTGCATTCAAGTAAAATGACACAGATTGCCACCGCATCGCCCCGTACAGGGAGCGGGTATCGGCTACTTTTATCATCATCAACCACCACTTGTTTGTTAATTAATTTGTGTGCATTTACTTTCTGTTTATTACTATTTTTGATTTCTGATCATAACGTTAGAAAACATTTCTATTAAAAAATATTTAATAATTTTTACTGAGATGTTGTAGCCTCAAAAAATGCAGAGCAATAGAAATATAAACACAATATGAACGGATGTATTACGTAGACCATTGCCATTTATTTGTATATGTTTCTCTGATATCGCTGACCCCCTTTTCTGAATGTGATAAATTTTGATTTTCTGCTTTTAAATTTTAAACAAATTCAATGAAATTGGTGATAATTACTGAAATACGTACATATATACTTATTTTCAAGTTTGGTTTATGTACATATCATTATCGAATAAACCGGTTTGATGACATGTACTTACCAGGGTTATAAATATGGGCATTTCCACCGAAAAGTATATTTTTTGTCACATCACGTCATTAATTGACAATATCTTAGGACCATTTCTTTTGATTGGTCCTTTCTTTATCCTATATATAGAGCTATTAGAGCTCTACATAAAAATATAAATAATTTAAATATTTTCCCTACATATAGGCAGTTAATAGTGCTTGGCGTGATGTGACAAAAGTAGACTTTTCGGTGGAAATGCCCATATGTGTTTGATTTTATAAAAATATTAAATTATAAATTTAATTTAAATTTACCTACTTTATGAATTGAATCAATGAATACACACATTTTACAGATTTAAATAAAAATAGAACGATTAACACATATTCATGTATTAAACACTTGCCCTTTAAGGTATTTTCAGACTACAATACTGAGTATTAACACACTTCAAATTAAAAATAGTATGAAAATAATTCGCATTTTCAAAAAATCAATCTGAAATATACATTTTATGTTTACACTATAACATTTGTAATATTTTTTATCCAATTTTCAATTATTTATGCACTTTTCGTTCTTATTTTTAATGTATTTTACACTTTTTGTTTGTTTTTTATTGTATTTATAAAATACATACCGAATACGTTTGAAAATAAAAAGGTTTTGAATTGTTTTAAAAAATTTATGAATACCGACCGTATGCCAAAAAAATCAGTAATATTTTTGAAAATCAAATTACAAATTATATTTAGACTAGTAAATTGTATTATGATACAAATATTTTTGACAAGTATTAATACTCAGAGAATGTAAAAAACTGTTACAGTATTACATGTTACAGCCAAAGTTTTATGTGTTTATATTTTAACAAATATTCGGGGCGGGTTTTTCTGATGGATATAATATTCTTTCTTCGTCTAAATTTGGAATTTTTAAATAATCAAATGTTTTGTTTATTATTTTGGATGAAGCGAACCAATAAAACCTAAAACTCAGTCAGAAAACATTATAAAATTATCATCAATTTAAGATAAGAAAAATAAAATTTTTAAAAGATTTTTCAAAACTGTTGTTTACTGCTTTTTTTTTTAACTGAAAAGTTAATAATACTAACAAAATTAGCTTTCCTTTAATTACTGAAAAACACAATCGAATTAAATCCGCCTGAATTTGTTGCAAGTCTAATCTAACCGCAAGTTAAGCTACATTTAGCATTGTAGGTAAAACCTGATCATAATTTATTCCTGACGGTTTTGTGAACCGAATCCGAGTAAATTTCTCGTTTAAAAACGAATTCCCATAATTTTTCTCGTTTTAAAACCGAGTACACAACTATAGTGAAAAGTAACTTAATAGAAATGCTATAGGCATTTTTAACTCTTATTTCATTTAAAATATGTTTAGAATTATACGAATATTTATTTATTTATTTATTAAAATATACTTTATAAATAAATTTATAAAATATACTAAAGAAAGGCGCAGGGTAACTAGACCCTATTGCGCGCAAAATATGAAAATTATACGAATATATTTAAACGAATGGAACGATATGTTTGCATCATTATTTTTTATTTTCCTTCTTAGCATTAAATGTTTCTTCACATTTTACTAAAATATATTTTAATTTTTAACTATACTAATTAGTATAAGTTATGCCTATACTAATTAGTATAAGTTAACTTTTGTCCAGTTTATTCATGAGTCTTGATTGATTTTTGTCAAACTTTTTGTACGTTCTATTTGCAATTTTAACAAAATTGCAAATGCATATATACATTCATAAACAATACACATATCTTAACTTATCGCAGATCCAAAAATATAAGAAAAAACCCCTGTTTGAGCAACGTTTATTTAGTGTGTGAGCAATACAATATATTTACAATTTATTTTTCACTGTGTAGCTTTAAAATTCTATTTTTATTGTAAATGTAGTAAAAAATGTACAATTGTGGTTTTTGTAGCTTTAATTATAAAAATATTGATCGAGTAAATAATGATTATACAAATAAACGTGCTTAATCAAATATATAATTTGTATATTGTTATTTTTTACGTCTCAATTAAAATTTGTCGAAAAATACCTTAAGTAAAATGCAAAGAATAGAATTACCTACTAAATTAACAATACATATGTGTTTAACATAGAATTAAACCAAACTTGAGGCACGAATGACTCATTCTTGTTTATTTATTAATATAAAGAGAGAGCCGCTAGTTTTATTACATTTTGTATCTGTATTATAATATTTTTAATTTTATTTGAAAATTTTGACATGTCGTTTTACTGAATATGGTGTGTAGCCAGCTTTAAAGAAATTCGACTATCGTAGAGAAACCATGTCATTCTTAATGTAGATCAGGTTATCAAAGATGACCTTCTGGTCTTAGAAGACATGTAAAGTTCATGCTGAATGAGAGATTTGCAGCATGAAAGTGGGCAACAACAAAAGTGTCATATCCTCTTATTGTAGGCGGGAATCGGTTTTTACCAATTTATTCGTTGTAAATACATTAGAGTGGCGCGGTAAACATAGAAGTTGTGGGTACGAATGGCTCGTCATCTCGTCAAGACGACCGACATTTATGAATCATTCTGAAGAAGGTTTACTATCAATATATGTCCCAGGGATCAAGGGAAGTGTTCCTGTAAAGTTATGAATTTGGAGTTCAACTTTTAATTTTCAGTCAATAACCCTAACCGACTAAATTGAAAGTATTACAAATTTAAGTTATCTTTACATGGAGAAAAATATAGGCAATTAGGAGCGGTAACGCGACTCTGGTTCTGCAATCATCAGAATAATTTTTTTATTTAATTTTTAACAATTAGTTTTATTGGGAGATATTTACTTACTATTTACTAAAGCTCAATCATAAATACTATTTCACTCGTCTTTTATATTATTTGTTGTAGCTTTTTACTGTGACCACAGAATTCACTAATCTTATGAGTATAATAATGGGCAAATTTTATAAATGTGACCAAAAATTGAACCTTATCTACTCATATTGTCCATTTTTCATTTTAATTAAATTTTGTAATATTAAACATACTAAAATTATTTTATAATGATTAATATTAGAATAACATTTTTTTAAATTATTTTTTTATAGGTAAATGTAACACTTAAAAAACCCGGTAGCAAATTGGAACATCAAGGTATTAAAATTGAATTTATCGGTCAGATAGAACTCTTCTATGATCGCGGCAATCATCATGAGTTTAAATGTTTAGCAAAAGCTCTAGCACGCCCTGGAGATCTCATTCAATACAGTAGTTATCCCTTTGAGTTTCCAAACGTAGAGAAACAATTTGAAATCTACAATGGATCGAATGTACGTTTACGCTACTTTTTACGTGTCACCATAGTACGTCGCATCAGCGATATCACAAAGGAAGTTGATATCGCTGTTCATACACTCTGCAGTTATCCGGATGTAAATAATCCCATCAAAATGGAAGTGGGTATTGAAGATTGTCTGCATATTGAGTTCGAATACAACAAGAGTAAATACCATCTGAAGGATACGATCATTGGTAAAATATATTTCCTGTTGGTGCGCATTAAAATTAAACACATGGAAATCGCTATTATAAAACGCGAGTCAACTGGTAGTGGACCGAATGTGTTTACGGAAAACGAAACAATTGCCAAGTTCGAAATAATGGATGGAGCACCTGTTAAGGGTGAAAGTATACCAATACGTGTATTTTTGGCCGGCTACAATCTTACGCCCACAATGCGGGACATCAATAAGAAATTCTCAGTAAAGTATTTTCTCAATTTGGTGTTGATGGACACGGAGGATCGTCGTTACTTTAAACAACAGGAAATAACACTGTGGCGTAAGGCTGATATACCACGGTATCATGCCCACAATCAACCACAACAAGCTGCTGTTGCGGGTCATAATACTCATCCTCAGCATGCTCCCCCACATTTGGTTAGTGGCCCTCCAGCTCCTGTTGCAGCACCTCATTTAACTAACAGCGATCCGAATGTAAATGTCAATGCAGTCGGAGTAGCTGCGGCGGCAGCAGCAGCCTCAACAGAAGCCTCGTTGTCATCTGAAGGCAAAATGGGTCTCTTCACAAGAGAAAGTCCTAATCAGGAATTCAGTCAACAGTCGCAGGAGTCACTACCTACATCGCCCATAACACCGACTGCAATGCCAATCGAACGAGGAATGGGAGATGGTGCAGCTGCAATTAGCACTTCACCAGTTATGCTTTCTACAACGCCACCGCCTCTGCCAGCAGCGACAGCAGCCAATGCTTCGGTGAATGAAAACAAACAAGAAGTCGCCGCTGATTTCCTAGAACCAACCACGGAGGTTCCCTTGAACGATGATGATGAAGAGGATGGAAACAACGTTAATAATGATACAGATGATAAGCCTCAAGTGGTGCCAGTAGCTTCAAGTGATTTCTTAGATAGTGATGATGCCGTTACAAGTGGAGCCTGATGTTATGGTCCTAATTGAGTCATTCTTTATATACGACTACAACAGCAACCAGAGTCGTATAATTATTGTATCAAGTGCTTAACTTAAAAAGTGAAAGTGTAACGAAACCCGACATTTATACAGAGAAAATAGACACCCACATACACACAACATCCTCATAAACTCATCCTGACACTCAATATTATTATTAAGGGCTTCTTTAAACAAAACGAACAACTAAAATAAAAACAATATTAACATTTGCAAAAGAAACAAGTCTAAAGGCAAACAAATATTTGCCATTTTTAAAATAAACTTTTGGAGTTGTCTGTCCAAAGTGGAGAAAACATAAACTAAATATCGAAAAACTATTTATTTTCAAAGGTCCATAGATTGTAAAAAGTATTAAAATATTTTGTTGTTATTTTGTAGACAAAACTTAACGATAAATTCAAAACATGTACACAAACATACAAAAAAATACATATTAATACTAAATTAAAATTGTTTAAATTGTTTAGACAATTAACTTTTATTAGCGACTAACAAAAATACAAATTTGAGCCCTTTAGTATAACTCACCATCACAGTCCACAGTTCACCCTCTAGCTGTTTTACTCCCCAATTAATTACGAGGTATAGTAAAAAAGTTAGAAATCTAATCTATTTTTTGTCGCACTTGTTTGTCTAGATCAATTGTTTTCTTTTTATTATTTTTAACACATAAAAGTTTCCTTCTTTGTTTTCAAAATAAATTTCTCCCATTCCCTGTTTATATTTGTTTTTTGTATTTAAATATTTTATTATCATTATTTTTATAATTATTGCATTGCAAATATACATAAAAAAAACGAAAAACAACTTACATACATACGTACATGCTCTGATGTAGGTACTAAATAAATTAATATAAATATTGTAAAATTTCTATCTAAATATTCCGAAATTCTATTGACCCTGTTTAAAACCCATTTCAATTGCAATTAATTCGATGTGAACTTTATTTTATAAGAAAATATGAAGTGAGAAGATAGAACCTTAAAAAAAACAATGCGTTACGCAATTATAAAAACAAAAAAATAAGAATAAAAATTAATAATGAAAATCACAAATTTGTAAGAAATCATTAAAGCGATTAGCGAATATTATTTTCAAGTAATGAAACAAAATAGAATTAAACAACAAAACAAATACTAAATCAATATTTTTATTTCGATAGTTTTTAAGATAATACAAATGAGAAAATAAATCAGAAACAAACAGAAAACAAAAACAACAACAAAACAAATGATATATTCAAAATATATTATGTATTAACCAAGTTATTTAAAATTTAAATAAAAAAACAATAAAACTAAATGGTCATTTTATTTACATACATATATTCCTAAAAAAGGATTTTCATTGTAAGCTTATTTATTAAATTTCTTTTAATTTACTTCGTAATTGATCTCCACATAACAAATGTTTGAGTATGAGAAAGAGTTATATGTTAGACCCCTAATGCATCTGATGATTAGCTTGAGATGCTAATGCAAATAAACTGATGCTCATTTTACGCATAATTTTACTTTAGGGCCTGTTCAGAAATATATGATGGGTGAAAAACGTCTAAACACACATTATAAAAATGGCTGATGCGGTGTATATTACATATTTAGATATACAAGTTTATTTAATAAAAAAATTATTCATATTTAACAGCTATAGTAAAAACATAAGATTTATATTATACATACATATGTACATTTACAACAAGAGATTTAAAAAAATAGTTTACTGCATCTGTTGTTACCAAATGCGATATCTGTTTATCTAAAATAACGTATTTAAAAGATGATAAATTAAAAACTACGCTTTCTATATTTAAGCGATATAAATAAAGCTGATTTTATATAAAAAATTATGACAAAAGACTTATTAAGACTTATCAGATACATTTTAATAGAATAAATTATATTTATATTTTGTACAACTCATCATACATCCTAAGACGTTCTGTCTGTCGTTAACTGATCATTATCAGTAAACTCATCATACAAGCGCTCCTCCGAAAACATTTAAACAGTTGTAACCATGACATTGTGCCCAAGTTATTTGCACTCAGAAATTTTATTGTTAAGTATCGGGCCTTTTACAGAAAATCAGTTTATTTTCAATACATTATACAACAATTATAATAAAATTCACCAAAAATTATTTGTTTTAAAAAATTAATCACTGCAAAGAATTTTAGTGGGGGATTCTTTCCCCCATGTTTGTTGAGTAGGTCGGTTTTACTTTTGTTAGATTAACTTCTTCATATTCCCATCCCTTAATAGCAAGAACATTTACTCTTTTATTGCCGATTATCCCCGAATGGTCTGGTACCCATATGACGCATAGTTTTCGGAAGATTATTCGAATATGGCACTCGTACAGTGGTATCACCCTAATTGCCTATTGACACTATATATAATCTAATTCATTTAAGACATTCTGTGATAACACTGACTTCCGCCTGGAACTTAGTGTTGTGATTAGCACATTTCGGTTTCTGTGTTTTAAATGTACATTTCTGTCCAGTTTTTTCTCCCAGTTTAGATTTATTCGTGTAACAACAGATTCCCACACAGCTTTGCTTAAATGTTCCTCTTGACCATGCTAACGATCATTTCTGTTTCCGGTATGCGATCGGTTTTTGTGTATAACCGTCCAGTATACATTAATATCCATTAACCGATTTTGGTAAAAAATTTCCAAATTCGTAACGGTTTAGATTTTTAACGAGGTTCAAAATTCAAAAATGTTTATACGGTTTTTGTAATCTTTCCTCAAATCGATATCTTTATTCTCTACTAGTTTAACAATAGCTTTTTCAAATAGGTATTTAAATGTTAAAAACTTTTATGCGCACAATTGAGACGAACGACGAATTTTCGTCGTCAGATATAGAACACACTATACGAAAATACGCACAATCAGTGCGTATGACGAAATTCGTCGTACGTATCGAACTGTGCAAAAGGTTTATTTCTATTTCATACGCAGACGAATAACGAATATTTGGGTGTAGAGTGACCATTTTACTTTTAAGTTTTAAATGTTCATACCAAAGAATAATGTTCATACTATTTTCTAGTTTATTTTCAATTAAGTATTTTTTTATTTAAAAATTAAAAAATTTATAAAATTTATTTATCGTCCCAATTGTGCGTATAGCTTTATATATAACCTTCTCACGAAGGTGAAGGGTATAAAAATCATACATTTAATTAAAATTTAGAAGTAGAAAATAATATTGTGAAAATTTTTCAATATTTAATCCTGCACGGTTACATTCAACCGATTTGCATATAGATACAATGCCTCGTAATTTGAAATTTAAAATTTTGATGAAAAAAATCGTCATTAAACATTTTCTGCGTCAAAAATACCAACCGATCTTATGTATATTTGCATAAGTTTCACTTCAAATCAGCTACTGTTATGATGATCTGAAGGCTTTAATTAAAATGCAAACAATTTTGATAAGAAATGAGATTTTGTCAGTCATGACACAATTAAAGAATTATTAATGAAAAATGTTGTTATTTTTAGGAAATTCACGACACAAACAGCGTGTAAAAAAGGTTTCCTCTCACGATCAATTTAGATAACTGTCAAACTGAATGATAGCATCTCCCTGTTGTTGGGGGATCATCATAAAAATAAACAAATAAAAATAATATGATGAAACAACGCACTCACTCACTCAATTGTATGGATGGGATATAAATCATTTTCTATTCCTATTTGTTTATACAGTGATACGAACAGTAAAAACAAACGTCAAATATTTGCGAATTTATCACAGCATTTTGTCTTTGTTTATAATGCACCCTACTAGTAAAGATTCGTTATAGGTTTGTGACTTGATTTGCCAACATTTTTAGAATACTTCAAATATATTCCGGGTTGTACTCGAATTTTTAAGATTTTAAATTGACTGACTGTCTGCTTAATTCAGAAATAATGACGAAAAAAATTTAATTATTTAACTTTTACTAATATGGATTAATTTTTATTAAAAATTACTCAAAAAGGGTGTTAACAATTCGTTGCAATCGAATTTTCACACTTTATCATTTCATGTTTAATTCTTAAATTTAGTGGGATAATTTACAAGATTTGAGATAATTTTACTAGACAAAACATTTTAAGAATAGATACACCAACCTGCAACTGAAGTTAGTAAGTTGTTAGACTACAAGCGCAAAAGTATTGCTTCTCAATGGAAAAAGGAATTTGACCAATTTAAATTATTGGAGTTAAAATGTGGTTTTAGGAAATAATTTTAAAAATCGTATAATTGGTGTGGATCAGTCAGTAAGTCAGCATTAGGATATTTATCAAAGAAAACTGTGAGAAAATAGAGGGTGATAAAAATGGTTGGAATAATAACGAATACAGCTGAAAATGGTAAATATTATTCAGATGGAATGACATTTTCTTGTTGGTAATTGGAATTTTGAAATAAAAATATATTTTTGTTATTTTCTTTTGCAGATAAGGGCGATCATAAAGCTCGATCAGCTGAAGATGATAAAACGCCAGCTGATTTCGAAAAAGCTATATCAACTGCGGGCTTTGGGCGTTTCAATATATTTTTATTGCTGGTAGCATGCCCGGCCGCAATGGCTTCAGTTGTTGAAACGGCCGTTATATCATATATCCTTCCCAGTGCAGAATGCGATTTAAATTTGAATCTTCTTGATAAAGGCATCCTAAATGCCATAACTTATTGTGGTAAGAAAACAATTTCGTGTATTTGATATTGGTACTCTTATTCCCACATATTTTTTCTTTATAAAGATAGTGTTATTATAAAAACTTATCGTGTTAGAAGTTGTTAGTTTATATAGTTCAATAAAATTCAGAAGAGGAAGATTAATTTCTTAAAAAATTAGTTGTCTAAAGTTTAGACTCTAAACAATTAATGCTCGATAATCGTTTATGAATAACTAATTCAATAGCATAATTCATCCTATTTGCTTATATATACCTGATAACATCATATCGCCAAATGATATATCATTTGGCTAAGAATCACTTTCTCGATTAAGTCATGCCCGACAATTATAGAAGTATTATTATTTTATATAACTCAGGAAACTACTCTGGATATCCAATTATATATATAATTTCCAGGTATGATAATATCGGCCATCGGTTGGGGTTATTTATCTGACAAGAAAGGCCGAAAGAAACTATTGGTGTTTGGTTACCTGATGGATGTCATTTGTGTTCTTTGTGGAGCCATGAGTCAAAATGTTACACAATTAATGATTTCGAAATTCTTTGGTGGTCTTGTGTAAGTTTCAATTAATGATCCTTGTGTAGATGTTTCTACAACAACTTTGTTTGTGTAAAATCTTGTCTCTACCGAAACTAGTATGTGTGGACCATTCGCTGTACTGATGTCATATTTGACAGAATTCCATGGTACTGAACATAGGCCCCGTATTATGATGTTAATTGGCATAATGTTTTCTATGGCCTCTATTTTGCTACCGGTTTTAGCATTGTTAATTTTGCCAAACGAATGGAATTTCCGTGTGTTTAACATGAACTGTAAGTATAGCAAACAAAAGTGAATCAAAATGATTTGCCATCTAAAATATTTTCTTTATGATTGTTTTTAGTCCATTCCTGGCAAGTTTATTTTGCAATTTGTTGCATACCGAGTCTTTTAAGTGGTATTCTCTTAACATTATTTCCGGAAAGTCCAAGATTTTTAATGTCACAAGGTCGAAATGCGGAAGCTTTAAAAGTTTTCCAAAAAATATTTGCCATTAATAAAGGACAACCAGCAGAAAATTATCCAGTGAGTAAATTTTTTAACAAAGTTTGTTTTAAGATTTCTTTAAATGTCGGCCTCTTAAAACATATCGACATTAGTGACGTCGATATGTTTTAATCCGATCCGAAATTATTGGATTTTTATAGTCATTTTAGTGTTGTATTTAAATATTACTTATTTTTTCTTACTTGTCACAGATCAAACATCTTGTCAATGAAAATCCCAACCACAAAGACTCTGATCCCCCAGATAATATTAGTATAGCAACAATTGAAGCTGCCATCACTACTGCCAAAACTGATAAGGACCAAAAATCGAATACAATCAACAATATTGTGCCACCTCAACTAAAAGTGCCTACTGGTTTTAAGCCGCTTTTCTTTAAGCCTTATTTAGGAATGTGCATAATTGTGAATGTTTTAAACTTTTTTATATTATTAGGGTAAGTACACATTTGGTAAACGAATGAACATTTCTTTCCTATTTTATACTGAAAACAACAACAAACTTGTTTTGTAATTTATAGTCATTTTTGAAATAGGATCATAAAGAAATAATTGTAATTGTTTCAAAATTTCCAAAGCAGAACTCCCCCACTGTGCATTAGAAAAACCATTAATGAAATCTGTGTTATTAAAATATTTATTTATTTTATTTCAGACAAAATACCATACGCTTATGGTTACCTCAGCTATTCGCATCATTACATGAATATGAACAAATATCGAGTGAGGCCACCAGCATGTGTTCGATTTTAGAATATAGTGTTAATAAGACACAAATGGTACAAACGGTTCAGAATCCTGTGGATAGTTGTGTTGTGGTAAGAAATGTTAAAAGTCATATTAAAACACTATTTTAAAAGTAAATTTTTTAATCAAGGTTATTACACCTGCGACTTATACAAATAATATTATTGTGGCTGTAACAGGACTTATCGCTTATTTAGTGGCCGGTTCGCTAATCAATGCTTTAGGCAATAAACGTATACAAGGTATATGAAATATATATCTTATACAACATTTATAGATTCTAATTTACATATTTTTTACAGTTTTTGGTCTCCTAATTGCTGGTACAAGTGGTATTGCTCTTTTCTGGTCCTCATCGGCATTAACAACACTCATTATATCCTCATTATACGTTTGTATGGGAAGTATTTCTTCAACATCGGCTATCGGAACATCGGTTAATTTGTTTCCAACTTCATTAAGGTATTTCTCAAACTTATAGTTTGATTCATTGTTTTAAAATCACATTTCACTTTCAGAACTATGATTGTTTCATTATCAATGATGTTTGGTCGTATGGGTTCCATTACGGGTAATGTACTATTTCCCGTTTTCATGTCGTTTGGCTGTATTCCGCCATTTGTAATGGTTGGTGCTGTAATGTACAGTAAGTATTAATAATTATTTGTAATATAATACATTTATTATTTATTAATATATTTTCTATTTTCAGTTGGAGCTATTTTATCTGCTTTACTGCCAAGTACAAAGAAAATCGAGCTTAAATAAAAAAGATTTTCTATAATTTATTTCCTAAATAGTCTAATTTGTATAAATAAATATTATAAATATTGTGTAAATATGTCCATACTTTTTTTACAAAAATATGTTTAATTAATATGTTTAATATTAGATTTATTTAAGATAAATATCACAAAATAAAATTGCAATGTTTAAAATTCCAACAAAATATACTGTTGAAATCATAAACCATTTCTCGTTTTTAAGAAAACGTTTCCCAAACGAGACATTCTTATTACTTAATCTTATTTTTGTATTCTATAATACTTTATCTAAACACAAGCAAAAATGCTCTTCAAACTGCAGTATTAGTGCTGGTCTACATAAGGAAAGTTTTTTGAAATGAATCTTGGGGATTTCGCATAATGTTCTCTTCGAAGGTCCTTTCTGAAATGACTGTGAGATAACAAATAAAAATTTGTTTTTATATCACAATTTATGTGTGTATTAGCATTAACAACGAAAATGTTTGGTCGGAATTTGGCCTCAACTACGACGTCAAGATTACCTTCGCTGATGATAACTGCGGCTTATCGCCAATTATGTTTGGGCGTCGTATGTAGCAGGATATCTTTAAACAGTGTTGAAGTCTTGCGACAATTAATATCGTCCCACAAAAGGTGTGTGTTCGTTCTAGCTTTACGAGATTTGATGTGTATGCGGAATTAAAACTTAAGACTGCTGCTGCTGTTATGTGACGTGTTTAAAAATAAGAGACTCAGCAGTCTCAGAAGGTTTTATAAGCTATATTGTTTCCAGGCATTAGATATCACGGGGACATAGTTACTTTTAAGTAAACAAAAAGTTAATGTAATTTTTAATATAGTAATCAGACCACATAAGAGATAGCTGTCTGAAAGCCAGATACTTAGGCTATTTTGGTGGATCGTATTTATTAGACTGCGAACTGAAGAATTTATGTCGTCATCTTGTATTCCACAATTACTATTTCTTACCGACTGAGAACTTATCGGATTGGATCCATATATTTTGTTCCAACAAATAGTCATTAGCCGACCTATAAACTATGTATATCGCCAATTTGCTGGATTTTGTCAATTTTCAATTCTTATTTGCTTAATATTGTAAGACAAACCCTCGTATATGCAACGAGAATAACGGTTTCTTTTTCAAAAACAATCAATAAAATCACTCATATTGAGAGCGTTATCTTATCAATGAGAACTTGACAATCAAAATTAATAATTTGTTAGTAGTATTTATTTTATTCGATTATATGGAATATAACACTTGTTACAACTGACTTAACTGGTTCTAGAAATTACAATTTAATTGGTGAAATTTAGTTGATAAAATGGATTTCTCGGGAAAAGTTGTATTAATTACTGGTGCTAGTTCAGGTATTGGAGCTGCAACAGCCGAAACTTTTGCTAAATATGGTGCCAATGTAGTTATAGTGGGTCGTAATGTTGAAAATCTTAAAGCCACCGAAGTAAAATGCAAAAAAGTTAATGCTAAAGTGAACTGTTTGGCCATTGTTGCCGATGTCACCACAGAGGCGGAGAAAATTATCAATGAAACTGTTTCGAAATTTCAACGTTTAGACGTTTTAGTCAACAATGCGGGTATATTAGCTTCGGGTGGTCTCCTTGACATTGATGTGGAGCAATTTGATCGCATATTAAACACAAACTTGCGCGCTGTATTCATACTGACCAAATTGGCTGGGCCTCTTTTGGTCAAAAGTCAAGGTAGCATAATAAACGTTTCCAGTGTAGCTGGTCTACGTTCATTTGCAGGAGCTTTAAGTTATGGCGTTTCGAAAGCTGCTCTCGATCAATTTACAAAATGTGTTGCCCTGGAAATGGCTCCCAAAAATGTGCGTGTTAATTCAGTTAATCCCGGTGTGGTTGTTACTGATATTCATAAACGTGGTGGCATGACAGTGGAGGAATATGCTCAGTATTTGGAGCGTTGCAAAGACACACATGCCATGGGTAGAGTGGGTAATGTGTATGAAGTTGCTGAAACTATAGCATTTTTGGGCAGCAGTAATGCTAGCTTCATCACTGGTGCTTGTGTGCCAATCGATGGTGGCAAACATGCCATGTGTCCACGATAAGCTCTTAGAAATATGTTTTTTTAAATAAATTAAATTTTACTTTTATTTTGAATAAATACATAAGAATAACGTTGAAATAAATATTAATTAGAAAAAATAAAAATATCTTTAAAATATTCAATTGTGTTTTGATATTAATGTGAATTTATGTCATCAGGTGGAGATGAACTCCAATCATTTGGTGGCGAAGAATGCCATTCATTATCCATTTCGTGATAAGGTTCTTCATGAATAACGGGTTCATCATTATGATTAGCGGGCTTTAAAATGGTGACATGGTGATGAGGTTTCTCCACGGGAACAGGAACAGGTACCTACAAATATACAAATGAAGATAAAAAATTGTACATATGTACATATCTTGAGATGAAGTCAATGTAATGTTTTAGAAATAATTTTTTTACCTTAACTGTGACGGGGAATGGTACTGGTCTGGGCACAGGAAATGGTACAACAGGTGGATAGAATTTCTTAGCAATCAAAGCATGTAACAATGAAGCTACACTTAATGTGGCCGCAGTGTGAGCTGGCAGAATAATTGGCGCTGGAGCAGGAGGTGGCGGAGGAGGCGGTGGTGGGGCTGGAGCCGGCGCTGGCGCTGGATATGGATAAGCTGGTGGAGGAAATGGATAACCAAAAGGAGCTCCAAATGGTGGGCCTGGAGGATAAAACGGCAATGGAAAAGGTGATGGAAATGGCGAGGGTAAAACTGGCGGTGGTGCCAAAGGTAAAGGTGGTCCTAATGGCGGAGGAAATGCTCCCCCAAATGGAGGTGGAAATGGCGGTGGAGGAAAAGGTGGTGGAAACGGTGGAAAGAAACCTCCAAAAGGTGGTAGGCCACCGAATGGAGGAAATGCTCCGAATGGAGGTATTGCCCCGAATGGAGCAAACGGTGGCGGTGCATAAGGGTCAATTATACTTCGGCGAACTTTTGATCCTTCTTCATGAGTCACGGTACTACATTCGCATAATTTCAAAATGAAAATAATCACCTGAAAAATAAAGTAATTTAAAACTAAAATTCTTCAATTTCTTCCCGTTACTTTAGATTGCACTGAATTTATTCCCAAAGGCAATTCATTTCAATTCAGGAGTGAAATATTGTCTACTAATAAGTGTTTTCAATTATGTATTAGATTTACTTATATCACTACTTTCAAATCCCTATCGAGATGAAAGTTATCGAAACATTCATTTAATTTTAATTTAATGATTTCCCAGCAAAAAAGGTGTGGAAAAAGATGTAGAATTTTCATCACAACCCAGCAAAAAAAGTGTGGAAAAAGATGTAGAATTTTCATCACAACTAGTAACCCGAAGTGCTTCAAATTCGGGTGTAAAACCTATGAATTTTACATTAGCGTGTCATTGGAGGGATGTTGTTCATTTTTGGCAGCTTTGAACTACATCTGATCTTATTTTTAGAAGCAGTAAAAATCCGATATTTGGATGTCAAAAATAAAACACATTCTCTTAATGACACGCTTATGTAAATTTCACAACTCTTTCACCAAATCTTGATGTACTTCAAATATGTTATTTGTAATGACTTTTCCACATCTCTTTCCTCACTTTTAACTGGGGTGTCATTTATAAGGAAATATTTGGTTTATAAAAGTGAAAAATATGAAATCGCATTTTAAGATGTGATTAAGATGTAGTTTGTAAAGTATGACATCAATTATTTTTTGCTGGGAACTAGTAACCCGAAGTGCTTTAAATTCGGGTGTAAAACCTATGAATTTTACATTAGCGTGTCATTGGAGGGATGTTGTTCATTTTTGGCGACTTTGAACTACATCTAATCTTATTTTTAGAAGCAGTAAAAATCCGATATTTGGATGTCAAAAATAAAACACATTCTCTTAATGACACGCTTATGTAAATTTCACTACTCGTTCACCAAATCTTGATGTACTTCAAATATGTTATTTGTAATGACTTTTCCACATCTCTTTCCTCACTTTTAACTGGGGTTTCATTTGTAAGGAAATATTTGGTTTATAAAAGTGAAAAATATGTAATCGCATTTTAAGATGTGATTAAGATGTAGTTTGTAAAGTATGACATCAATTATTTTTTGCTGGGTTATTAGGCATTTTAATTAAATTTAATGATAATAAAACTGTACTAAAGTGAAAAATTGTTTGCAAAGTAATTAAGTGGAAGTTGTATACTTAATCATTATACTTTGAAATTTTGAAAATGTCAGACAACGGACAACAGTAATTCCGCTATGTTTAAAGATTGGTGTAGGTCCATATTTTTCTATAGAAAAGCAACATACATATAGCAATTCATCGAAACATTAATCGTAATCCCCTTAAGGCATATATCGTCACCTAAAAAGAAAACGGCCGTATCCTGCGTCCTTTTTATTTATTTATTTTCCTTTTAGAAATTTTTGGTCGCTTAGTCGCTTGTAACTCAAGACAAAAATTTTTGAATTTTTAGCATTTGAATTGTTTTGAGAAACTAGACAACACTTTTATTTCTTGTGGGTTTCAAATAACAGTACAAACCAGGCGTTTGTTGTGAAAATAGATATGATAATATTTTAAACACATTTTTTTATTCTTTACTTTATGTGTATTAAACTTAATCGTCGTCGGATGTATAAATCATCATACTAAGTAGTTTGTTTATAATTTAATTATAAACTGAGTTTATTTTTGCAATGAAATTATTATTATTTATAACTTCCAATTACTTAAATACACAAAAACACTTTTTAATAAATTATATTAATGGATTACTCATTATTATATTTATATCTAAATATTTAAAAAAAAAATGATCTCAACAGAATATGCTTTTAGGATTTGTTAAAAAAATAACATTTCACTTACACCAATTAATAAACCACGTTCAAAATTTAGCAGCATTTTGCTTCTTAAATTTTTTAATATTTTGTGAACTCCAAACGAATACAAAACAGCAACTGTTACATCTTCAATTTCACTATTCAATATTTATACTCAAATTTAAGCTGCCAATGTCAAGGTTTGAAAAAAATTGCACCCGTAAATGGTTTTATGTATTATAATGTTTGGTAGAATGAATATGGAAAAATATAAGAAAAAGTCAATTTCTACAAGTCATTTATGTGATGAATGCACTAATATAATTTCACTTTTTCAATACTGTCAATGATCATTATTTGAAATAAATATTTATGTAATTGCACTTACACATAATATTCAAAAATCCTTATACAAAAAATATGGAAATAATTTGAATTCTTTTTGGATACCCATTTTGATTAAATTTCACAAATAGGACATGAATTTGACTGTACACCATGAAATCTGAACTTTTTCAAAGTCCCCTAAGAAAGTTAATATCAAAGATGCTATTTGTTATTGATTAACATTTCAATAATGATATATTTTTTATTTTTATTTATTAATTTTAATATTTGTTGTTGTATTTTAATGTATAATATTATATTTATAAATGTTAAAGGGAAAAAGGAGGGAGGGAGCATAAATTAGCTACTATACATACGATTAAATACATAAATGGATAGAAAAATTATTTAATGTCAATAAGGTTAGTTATGTGTACAATACATATAAGATAGAAAGATAAAATTTACATAAAAATAATTTGAAATATGACTAGATTTTTTCATTTATAATTTTTTTTAATAAATACAGACATACACACACGGTGTCAATTGTGTTTGGTAGTATATAGTAGACCACATATTATTTTAAACTAATTAGTCTAACAATAATTAATTCATAATAATTTAATATTTTTCCAAGCATACTCCAGATGTGTGTAAGTCTAGTCTAAATAGGTATGTTTGTATATATGTATGTGTATCCTTAAAATCCTTTATAGATTACGAAAATGTCGTATGGCCAAATCGACTGGTAGATCAAAATCATATTTTGACAATGTATCAATAGAACGTAGGGCATCGCGAAAACCAGTGCAGGCAACATAACTGGAATTTGTATAGTAATTTTCAATTAGATCGGTGCAACTAAATATTAGATTCAACCATTCCACTAGTTGATGACAACTAAAAGATCAAAAAACAAAGTAAAAAGTTAATTTAATAGCAGCAGGAGTCAATTAAATCAACTCACTTTAGTCCAGCGCAAACAAATGCCTTGAAATGAGCATTATAACTCCGTTTATAGGGACGATGCATGGCAATAATGCTGCCCACTACACTAAGCAAATTTTGCTTTGAAGTTACCACCTGCGAATTGACAATATCCAAATTGAAACTCTGCGATAGTTTACGCGCCGGAGTGTTATTATATTCATCACCATGCTTAAGATAATAATACTCCAGTATTAATTCCCAAGCATGCATAGGTCGTGTGCTACCAGTGCTAAAAAATCCACCTCCTCCATCATTAGACCAATTATTACTGGCATCTATTCCCTCGTTATCTTCGTAACCAAATGAGGCTGCTGAAGACATAAATGAAGAGGCATCAAAGTCGCGTGCACGATAACTGTGTTCGGCTACAAAAACTGGGGACGGATTAAGGCAGCGCATAAAGGGAACTATAAGACTTGAAGTTACAGGGGGTATTGATTCAACTCTTAAACCATGTTGCATCAGCTTTAATAAAGTCATAGCAAAATTTTTCCGCACAGCTGTTGTTAATTCTTTGCTTAGAGTATTGATGGTATCGCCTCGGATCCGGGCACATTGTACTATACGTCGATTATTCTGCTGTTGCCAATCGTAGTAATCGTACGCATCGAAATCTTCATCATCAGAACCGGAAGAAACAGTGTAGGGTTTAAGCTGCTTTTGTTGATTCGTTTGTGGCATTTTGGAACGATTTCGACTGCATGATGGAGGGATTGTTGTAATAATGCCATTTTTCAACGCAGCTTCTTCAGTGTCTGCAAATGTTTTTGATTTTTTCATAGCTTTGCGTAGTTTGGTAAGTTTTTCTCGATCGAAACTTAAGGTGGCCGCTAATGATGCAACCTCTTGTATATCCACTTCCAGTTGGGCACGCAAGTCACTGAAATTAAGAGGAAATGATTAGGTTCAAACACTCGTTTATAATAACACTAATCGATAAAATTGAAGATTTTTAACATATACTTATGGTTATCTTAAAACAACGCAACGTACATATGTATGTACATATTTTATAAGTTTTTTTTTTCAGTCTAATGTAAATATCGTCATACTATATTCAAAAAGTGCTTTTAACAGACCACGCTCATTTGAATCTATTTTTCCTATATTTTACTTACCCCCAGTGGTTTCCTTTATGGGTTTTCTTTAAAGTATTCTTTTGAAATTGTTCTTGTTTCGAGCCAAAGTGAGTGGTCGCAAACATCTGCATCAGTAATGATGCCTTATCCATTAAACCATGTGCTTTACTATGAAGGCTTTCTCTCACCCTTAGGTTATCACCTGTATTTGCATTCTTATTTAACTCTACTTCGGAATTCGATCCACTTGAACGTTCCATATCAGCGTTATCTACAATTTTCGCACCATCTGCTATAGATTTATTAGATTCTTTTTTCTTTTTGGCAGCATAACTATTGTATGCTTCACAAAACTTTTCGCTGCCATTCAGAGTTTTCATTTTACTCTCATCTGTGTCACACTGCAAAAAAGCAATGAAACGTTCCAGATCTGTGATTTGAGTTTTCAATTGTGCTACCAATTGCTCCTTCATCTTTAGAGGACCCACAAATTCCCCAATAGCGTTATCAACTTGAGACTTCAATTCTTCAGCCGTTAATTCGGGCAACTTATGCTCATCAACTTTAAAATTAAGTTTATGTTTTAGTTCATCAATAATAATTTTCTGTTTCTCTAACAGAATATGTTGAGGCAGTACGGGAGCACCCGATTCATAAGCAATTTTTTCCAATTCTGTTAGTTGGTTCTTTAAATGATCTATGAGCTCAAACTGCTGTTGTTCGCTAATCGCACTGCTAGGTTTATCTTCACCATTGTGATTATGACCCGAAGATGAACCGCTTCGGAAGGTGGCAGTTGTTTTGGCTGAAGGAGGCTCGGGTATGCCTTGAAAAGCAAATTCTTCCAGATCTTTTAATAACTGGTCACGTTCGTTGGCAGGAGCCTCAACAATTTGACGTACTCTTAGCTGGACATGAGCAAAATGGGAGGTGAGTGCCATTAGGGAAGAAGTGAGCATTTCTTGCTCATCTTCCAATCCCTTCAAACGTAACATTTCAGCAGAATCATCGCTGTGCTGATGAAAATCATGTTTATCCTGACTGTCAGAACTCAACAATTCGAGCTCAGACTCTGGACTTAAAAGTTCAGAGGAAGGGGTGACAGCATCATCATAATTTGCACCCAAAGGTGACCAACGTTCACTTAAAGGTTGTAAACCGTCATCGAAATCTCCCTCGCCATCATCCTCGCCATTGATTTCCGTCATTGCATCTAACTGTGAAGTTGTTAATAGTGGTAGTTTTTGCTCCTCGGCTGGTGTAAACACTAAAGCTGTGCTACATGTGGGTTGTGTGGTTTTTAACGTCTCTATATGTGTGAAATTTGCGGGGGCGTCTGTGGATGTGTTTGTTGCATTGATGTTTGCGAGACTGCCAAATTCATGTTCCTTGATTTTTTCATCGCAGCTGTTAAATGTTTGCAATGCAAATTCTTCTCTAACATTATAATTTTCGAGGTCTTTTGCCTGTTTTTCACTAGCATTAAACGTGTCAACCTTGTTAATTGACATCTCCGCCTGTCCCTCATCTTTATTCAATTCATCAAAATTCGCATCGAATTTTCCTTGAAAATTTAACTCTTTTCCCAGTTTACATTCAATTTTCTCACAGTCTGTTGTATTCATATTTATTAGATTTCTTCAAATAATAGCATTATATGATTTTTTCGAATTAATTTCACTGTTTTTTCCCAACTTTTCACTTTTTCTTTCACTTTCCGTAAAAATCAATTTTTCAAGTACATGTTGATGTGTGTGAGTGTGTTTCTATATTATTTTTTATTGTTCTATTAGTGTCAGTTTTTTTACTGTTATACTTACAGTAAAAAAACAACGTAACGAGCAAACATATGGTGGTTACAATAACAATGCAAAAGTATAAATACCAATACAACGGTAATTGTAATAGAGTTGTTTACATAAATAATCTATTACAATTATCCTTATATAAATATGAATAGAAACAAACCAATTTATACAATAACTTGGCAGTACTTATTTTAAGCGAAGACACAAACCTGCTAAAAATTAATAATGCCGATATTCATAAAAATTATTTTAGGTTTATAAACCAATTTAGGCAAAATTCACGAAAATCGTATTCATAAATAGCTTAAAATACCTTCAATAAACCATTGACAAATATAAGAATTTTATTGTAATTTCTTTAAGCCAACAATAAGTTGATTTTTAACAAAATTTTTCTTAGATAAAACTTTTTTCGTTAATTTTAGTTTCAAAGCGAATACTAATTATGTTTTCTTTTAAAATAGAATCTAAAAATTCTAATTTTCTATGCATTATTGGATTAATAGATGAATATTTGACAATATTTGGAAGTGCCCGTTTGTCATCCAAATACTGACCACTATCATTTGATTTGCCTTTTTCATAGTTTGTTTGTTAAAGTTATTATTTATGTAAATTATATTGATTAATGTTACACCATATTTTAAGTTACGTGGTTTAATATAACCACATAAATCCTGTTATTGTTTAAAACAGACTGTAAATAAAAATGAATTTATATAAAAAAGTGTTATACCAATGCAAAATATATTCGCCGGCATATTGAATGCATTTATAATCAGCAATAATTTGGTAAAAATTGTAACTCACAGCTGCACTTTTATTTATCTTAAAAAATCGAAAACCAACATTTTCAAATTTATTAATTGTAAAGTCGACTTTCATTATAAACAAAAAGTCGAAAGGTCGACTTTGTTTCAACTATAGAACCCTAATTTGTTGTTTTTATACAAACA